CCCGTCCCGCGAACCTCAACCCGCCGCGACTGTCTGCCCAAGATCACAGAGCTGTCACCAAAGCCACGAGGCACGCCCTCCCCGTTCGCAATGTCTGCTTCCGGAGCCACAACGCCTGCCCAGGCCAGCAGCGGTAGCTGGTCTGCCTTCCTCAAGGTACGTCGACCGCCGCCACTCAGACTGCGCTCTGTCGCTGCGCCAACCCTCGGGCTGACCGTGCCTTGCAGTCAATTGCCTCCTTCAACGGCGATCTCTCCTCCTTGACCGCGCCGCCCTTCATCCTCTCCTCTCAGTCCCTGACCGAATACTCGTCCTACTGGGGCACGCACCCTCCCCTCCTTACCGCCCCGGCCACCGAGTCCGACCCCGCCAAGCGCGCCCTGCTCGTCCTCAAGTGGTTCCTCGCGACCCTCAAGCACCAGTACGCCAGCCGCAGCGAGAAATATGGCAACGAGAAGAAGCCCCTCAACCCGTTCCTCGGCGAGCTCTTCCTGGGCTCCTGGAACGACGAGGCCGGCGAGACGACCCTCGTCTCGGAGCAGGTCAGCCACCACCCGCCGGCCACAGCCTACTGCCTTCGCAACGACAAGACGGGCGTGCAGCTCGAGGGCTACAACGCGCAAAAGGCCACCTTCAAGAGCACAATAATCGTCAAGCAGATCGGCCATGCCGTGCTCACCGTCCCCGTGGGCAAGGAGACGGAGCGCTACCTCATCACCCTGCCTTCCCTGCACATCGAAGGCCTCATCTTCGGAACGCCCTTTGTCGAGCTCGACGGAGGCAGCACCATCTCCAGCTCGTCTGGATACACCGCCAAGATCGACTACAGCGGCAGGGGCTGGTTGTCCGGTAAGAAGAACAGTGTTACTGCTGTCCTCCACCCGACCGGCAAGGAGAAGGAGGTCCTCTACAATGTCACGGGCCAATGGACCAAGGAGTTCGAGATCTACGAAGGCCCCGCCAAGAAGAACTCCAAGGCGACGCTGCTGGAGACGTATGATGCTGTCGCGACGGCCCCCGCGGAACTGCAGATTGCGCCCGTTGAGAAGCAGCATCCTCTCGAGTCGCGCCGAGCCTGGTCCAAGGTTGCCGAGGCTATCCAAAAGGGCGACATGGACGCCGTCTCGGTGGAGAAGGGCAAAATCGAGCAGGCGCAGCGCAACCTGCGGGCCAAGGAGCGGTCCGAAGACCGCTCGTGGGAGCGGCGATATTTCAATGCCACCGAAGGCGCGGACGAGACCCTTGAGGCCGTCGGCAAGGCTGCTGGCGTTCCTCTGGATGGCGAGCAGGACAAGACGGGCGGCCTCTGGAGGTTCTGCCACGAAAAGGCCGCCAAGGCCGCCGCTGAACAGCTTGCCGATGACGAAATCAAGAAGATCCAGGAAGAGATCCTGGGTCAATAGCGGCCACATTGTGAAGAGAACGAGATAATGGATCATAGACTGAGGGCAGAAGCCGCCACCGAACCCATACGTTGTACGAATGAGCTGGCATGGTAGAGCCAAGCCGCCGGGCCCAGCGTCATCGAGGGAAGGACAAACGACTGCGCGTGCCTCGGATGCCCCGCCTGCATTTGCTGGGCCACGGCGGCTTCTTGCGCTAGACGGGACCGCAGCACATCACGTTGCATCATGATTACAACACAATTGATAATAGCAGTTATTTTGTATTCTCGTCTTCTGATTTTCAACACCCACCGTGATACAAATGCCTTCGCCAATCAACAAGGGCTGGCCAAGATTGTCGCCATCCAGTTCAGCGGACACTCCACCTCCCAGGGCAGCACACATCTAACCCTGCGAGGCCGAGGATCGTGTAATGCAACCAACTCCGGTTCATATTGCGCTTCAGTTCAGCTCGACTGCAATTTACACCTGGCCGGCGCAGTTGAAGTCCTTAAGGGCCTCGGCGACGCGAGCGGCCATGGTCTTCTCACCCTCACGAACCCAGACACGGGGCTAGTTTAGAAACGTCAGCTTTGTCCTGAGGGCGATCGTAGGGCACGCGACTTACATCGAAGTACTTCTTGTTGGGCTTGTCATCGCCATCGGGGTTGCCGACGGCAGTCATGAGGTAGTCCTTCTTGTTGAGCATGTAATCGCGGATGCCGGCCATGTAGGCGTACTGCATGTCCGTGTCCATGTTGACCTTGACAACGCCGTGGCTGATGGCGTCGAGGTACTCCTTCTTGGAAGAGCCAGAGCCGCCGTGGAAGACGAAGAAGACGGGCTTGTCCAGCTTGGACTTGATAGCCTCGTGGACAAAGGCCTGGTGCTTGCCGAGGAGCTCGGGGTGCAGGCGGACGTTACCGGGCTTGTAGACACCGTGGACGTTGCCGAAGCCAGCGGCGATGGAGAAATAGGGTGAGATGGGCGAAAGGGTGTTGTAGATGTTGAGGATATCCTCGGGCTGGGTGTAGAGGGAGTTGTTGTCGACGTCCTCGTTGTTGACGCCGTCCTCCTCGCCACCAGTGATGCCAATCTCCATCTCGAGCCACTGCTTCATGGGGGCAGCGCGCTTCAGGTACTTGGCGGTGGTCTCAACGTTCCACGCGACCTCCTCCTCGGAGAGATCGATCATGTGGGAGCTGAAGAGAGGCTCGCCGTTGGCCTTGAAGTAGGCCTCATCGGCATCGAGCATGCCGTCGAGCCAGGGCAGCAGCTTCTTGGCGCAGTGGTCGGTGTGCAGGATGACGGGGATACCGTACGTGGGAGCGATGGAGCGGATGTACTGGGCACCGGCAATGGCACCGGCAATGGAAGCAGCCTGGTCGCCGTTGGGAACGCCCTGCAACCATGTCTCTTGTCAGCGATTCCCTCAAGCTTTTCATTCTCCATGCTCCTCGAGCGAGGGGCCGGTTTGGGCACGTACCTTGCCAGCGAAGTAGGCGGCACCACCCTGGGACATCTGGAGGATGATGGGAGCCTTGGCGTCGCGGGCAGCCTCGAGAGCGGCGACGGCGGTGGAGGAGGAGGTGACGTTCTGAGAGCATGTTAGTCAACGAATGGACAGAATGCCTCGCCTCATCCAAGAAGTTCAGCGTCAAATGCCGGAAGAGCTTACAATGGCGGGGACAGCGAATTGCTTCTCGCGAGCGTACTCAAACAGACGCAGAACGTCATCGCCGACGATGACGCCGGTCTTGCGGCTCAGAACATCGGTAAGACCCATGATTGCGATTTAGGATCGGAAAATCTGCTTGGATTTGTGAGCTGGAGTAGAGGTAGAGTTGGTGAAAAAGACGCGATGGAGTCGGCGTGGGAAGGCAAGGCAAGGTGGGCGTCAAATTGTTCCGTCAACCGACCGCGCAAAGCTGGCTCATCAATGGAATAGCGCAGCGACGAGTGGCTGCAGCGCGAGCCCCAAGACTGACTGGTCCCACCAGAGTGAAGCAGCATCGGGCCGGTGGCAGTCCTCGCGTAAGGCACGCGGGGTTTTCGGTCGAGTTTATCGTTATCTGGGCATGGAGGGGCAGCGCCCAGGAGAGGCGGCGCCCCACGATGACAGCGGGAATGAGGTGAGAGAGGCGGACAGCTCGCCGTCAATTGGCGCTTGCCGGGCGACGGAGCCACCAAAAAAGCGCTCGAGCGAGCTTCGCGGGCGAGGTGTTTGCAATGGCGGTGACGACACTTGTCTTGGTCTGCGCCGTTATCGTTCGCATCGGTCCGTCGCTCGCCCTTACAGCACGCAGGCAGTGGTGGTTGCTGCGTGGATGCGCCGCTTCGCCAGTCGGGCAGACTCGTCGTGGTGGGGCTTCTTGTGCCGTGAGGGAGGTGCAAAGAGGGGCTCAACAACTTACAGGATTGATGAGGTCAGGTCGCGATGGTCGAGTGGGACGCAGGGGTTCGCAGCAAAGCGGGTGTTGTGTGTGCGCTGGGATGCAGAGCAAGGATGAATACAGGAGAGGAGGGAAGGAAAGAGGAGGGAGGAAGAGGAGGAGAGGAGAAGAAGATCGCGGGATGGCAATTGTCGGGAAGGAGGTCGGGTGTCGCCAGGAGCAGCACCAGCAGCGGGGCTGGTGCCGTGGTGGGTGACCTCAAGGCTCGTCATTGCCGGGCGCCTCGCCTGCCGCAGCCGACATCTCGGGGCGGGCGGAAACATGCGGGACGCACCTAGCGAGATGCGCAGGACAGCGCGCGGGGCACAGCACGGTTCAGCACACTTCAGCGGGCAGCACGGTGGAAGCACAGCACGGTCAGCTCGGAGGAGCATCCACCAGTCAAGCTCGCCGCTGAACTAAAATGCAATAGAGGCACACTCCTCTGTAGTTGCAGAGGCCATTCCACGTTGCTTTACCATGTCATGACACTCGACAGCGGGCTCTTTTCGCCTGCCCGCCTCCCGTCTTCTCCATGGCCCCTCCGCCCCGGCACCACGGCGAGCTCCAGCGCGTGTCGTTCCGTCGCTTGCCGTCCAGCTCCGAGCACGACCCGGCGGACGACACCCGCCTCGGGTAGCTTCATGCATTCGGGTACTACTACTAAAGTGGCATGCCCAGCCACGGCAGCTCAAATCAGTAGCTAATTGATGCTTAACGTATTTCTAGCTTCCATCTGTCGATGCCGAAGCCAAAAGATGCCCGCCGATCCCGATCTCGCCGACAGACGCAGAACCGGCACAGGCGGGTTAGCCACGGCCCGTCGGCCACAGAGACGAAAGCACACAAGCACCTGGGCTCAACGTGACGACGTGACGGGAACGCAGTCCGCCGCATGACAATGACATTTCGCATTGCAAGTTTGAGCCCGCAGGAGCTGTTGGAATCGCCCCATTCTCGGCATCGCCAGCGCTCGCAACTGGATTATTACCCCTCCATGGATCCCGTCCCGTTGAAATAACCCACCGCATGCCCCTCCTGCCCCTCCCTCTCGCCTCACCTCTCCCATCAAACAAGCGCGGCTCGTCCGCGACTGGCCGTTGGCTCGTGACCTCCATGTTGGGCGCCCGCATTTTGCGGTGCGTCGAGACCACTGCTCTGTGCCTTACTCGTAAGCTTGTGACGATGCTTGTGGGCCTGCCTTGCTGGGCAAAGCATTGTAACTACCCTCGGCCAGTTTGCGCCGGGCTCGCCCATTGCTGAGGACTGGACACCAGCCGCGACTCAAGCTGTGTTTCCCGTTACACGCGCCATTTTCGCCTTCATCGCGGATGCTATCGTTCCATCTGATGGCCTTAAGGCCGAGTTGCAAGCTCGTGAAAGTCAAGTCTCACGATTTCGCTGGTGCAGGTTGCACCAAACGCGCGCTTAGTCATCCACTTTTTCTGTCACTTTTGAACCCTCGAGCCATGACGGCAGCGAACAATAACGCAGCACGCGCGTCGGCATGTCGACCTCATCAGCTCCGAGCTCGCTTTTCAGCCTCGATGCGCTCTTCGACAATCCCCTCTTTGCAGGAGGCATCGGCCTAGCCTCCCTCGGCGCCGCTGCAGCGTTTGCCCGCAAAGGCGCCATCGTGGCCCTCGGCGCCGCTCGCCGCCGGTTGCTCGTCAATGTCGAGATCAGCAAGCAGGACCCGGCCTACCCGTGGATTCTCGCATGGCTTTCGCAGCCGCGCGAGAACCCTGGCTTCATCGCATCGCGTCTGACACGGATACACAACCTTTCCGTGACGACGACGACGAGCTCCCGCGGAGCCAACCTCGGCGGGCCCACCGACGCGCACTTCTTTCTCCAACCTGGCTATGGACGGCACATTGTCAAGTTTGGCGGCGCCTACATCGCCGTCAACAGGGAGAAGCATAGCACGGCCAACATGAACACCGGAGAGCCCCACGAGATAGTGCAGTTGACCACCCTGTGGGCCCACCGGCATGCTTTTGAAGCCATCTTCTCCGAGGCTCACCAACTTGCCGCCAAGGCGAACGAAGGCCGAACGATTGTATATGCTGCACGAGGGATGGACTGGGCGCCCCTCGGGGAGCCGAGGAAGAAGCGCCCGCTTGGCTCTGTGGTTCTCGATGAAGGCGTCAAGGAGAGTATCGTTGCCGATGTCAAGGACTTCATGTCGAGACAGCAATGGTACGTGGATCGAGGCATCCCATATCGAAGGGGGTACCTCCTTTTCGGGCCGCCAGGAAGTGGAAAGAGTTCTTTCATCCAAGCGCTGGCCGGAGAGCTGGACTTTGGGGTGGCCATGGTTAACCTCAGCGAGATGGGCATGACGGACGACAAGCTGGCATATCTCTTGACAAAGCTGCCCAAGAGGAGCTTGCTGCTGCTCGAGGATGCTGATGCGGCCTTTGTTAACCGACGTCAGCGCGACGCCGATGGCTACTCAGGTGCCAGCGTCACATTTTCGGGCTTGCTCAACGCACTGGATGGCCTGGCCGCCGGTGAGGAACGCATTGCGTTTCTGACGACGAATCATATTGACCGCCTTGACCCGGCGCTGATTCGTCCAGGCCGGGTTGACATGATGCTTCGAATCGGCGAAGCCACCAGATACCAGGCTGCGCAGATGTGGGATCGATTCTATGGGGACGTGGACCAGAACGGCTCTGACCGCCAACGCTTCTTGCAGCGACTGGATGAACTGGGTCTCTTCGGAACGGACAAGGAAGGGAAGCCATCCAACAGGCATACCAGCACCGCGGCGATCCAGGGCTTGTTCCTGTTCAACAAGAATGACGCCCAAGGAGCCATTGACATGGTCGAGGGTTTGATCCCCCGCAAATTTGAAGCCGACGACACAGTTCCCGACGGGGCTATCAAGACGCCGGCTTGAGGGATGTTGTCGGTGAAGGCTGGATACACTGCTGCCTCGCAGCCTGTACTATATGATTTGTACATTACACGCAAAGATACCCTTGCTGTCTGTCCGGTGTGTACGCGGTCACTATGATGTATCTAGATGGAGGGACTGCGCAGTTCTAAATGGGAACTATGCGAAGTAGTTGCCACTTGATTAGATAGAAAGGCAACTCGCTGCCGGAGATGAAAACTATGCGAGGTATGCAGGAGAGTCCGCGTCGGGATAGCCACGTCGCGATCTGTTCCAACTAGACTCAACGCTAAGAGGTTCCGTTCCGCGTGGAGAGAGGGCGCGCCCTACTTGTAAACTATGGGGTTCGAGAAGTGTCGATCGAACAAATCTCCTGCCAGAGTACAAGTTTTCGATCCTGCCACAAGAGCACGCGACCAGCTGCAAGCCACGCGCATCTTCGTATCTCCAGATATACACCAGCATTATGTCTTCGGAACCAGAAATTCGGTTCGCGACAGAGGCGGGCAAGTCCTCCGCACCCTTACCGTCCTCAGAGCTCCCGTGGAATTGACCGCGCCGCAAACGCAGATGTGCCAACTATCCGCGAATTCATCGTGGCTGGAGGCGCCGACCAGGCACCGGGCACGCACGTCCCGGTGACGGAAGCAGGCCTGGCCGCGACGCTGCATTTTGCCGATGCCAAGTCGGGGGCCATTGCCGCGGCGGGCACGACGCATCGCTTCGCCTGGCCGCTGCTCATCGTCGCGCCCGAGGGAGACGTCGCCGGCATGGCCATCTACTTCTACAACTACACGACGTGGAAGGCGGCGCCGGGGGTCTGCCTGGAGGAGTTCTACGTGGTGCCGCGATATCGGCGCCGGGGGTACGGCAAGCTCCTGATTGAGGCTATGGCGCGCGAGGCGCGCAAGGCGGGCTGCGTCAAGATGGAGTGGCTGTGCCTCAAGGACAACGAGCGCGCGCTTGCGTTTTACGACAAGCTGGGCGCGACGAGAAAGGATGACTGGGTTGCGCTGCGGGTTGACGAGGCGGGCATTGAGAGGCTGGCAGCGAGTGCGGCTGCGACTGCTGGCGAGGGGTCGCTCATCAGCTGAGTCTGCCTAGCTATTAGGCTAGGTAGGCACAGCGGTGGAGCTCGCCCGCCCGCTGTGTTCCTGCATCACCACCACTACCCTGCATCGTGACTCTCGGGTTGTTAGTCACAGACCAGGCAATCACGCACCATTTAAGCCCTTTCTCATCCAGTTCGTCGTCGTCGTATCAAGCAATCGTCGTCAGCCAAAATGCCGGATCCAAATCAAAAGACTCTCGACAAGTGGATGTCGTCTGGGGGCAGCGCCAGCCGGCGTGGCGTGGCAGGCACCTCGTCACACCAAAACCCACCAAAGCGCGACTCGTATCGCCAGCGGGAAGACCTCGCCGCAACGGCCAAGGAGACCAGGACCGTTCTCCCCGACATTCTCAAGCATCTCCCCGATATTCAGGCCGCCAAGTCTGAAGCGCTCTTCCTGGACACGCTGCCGCCGCTCAAGGCGTCCGACTGCCCCAAGAGAACACCGACGGGCAAGGCCACGATCCGCATTGTCAACGATGACTCATTCAACGCCGCCATCGAGCTCGCGGCATCCAAGGCATCGTCTCCGGATTCCGGACGCGTCGCGGTTCTGAACATGGCCAGCCACGCCAACCCGGGTGGCGGCTGGCTCAAGGGTGCTCGCGCGCAGGAGGAAGCGCTGTGCTATCGCAGCTCGCTGGCCCTTTCCTTGCACCGCCGATACTATCCATTCAAACAGCGCATGGGGCTGTACACGCCTGACGTGGTCGTCATCCGCTCCGACATGCCGTCCGGCCACAAGCTGCTGCTGCCAGACGTCAAGCCCGAGGACCTCCCCGTCGTGAGCGTGCTCAGCGTCGCGGCGCTCCGCCAGCCGGAGACGAAGCGCGTCCGCGGCAACACGCCAGCTGGTGCCGTGTACGAGCGTCTCGTCTACGCGGACCCCAGGGCGCGGGTGCTTACCAAGGACAAGATGCGGCTGTGCCTGCGGATGGCCGCACAACGAGGCCACGGGCTCCTGGTCCTCGGGGCTCTGGGCTGCGGCGCGTTCAGGAACCCCAAGGAGGAGGTGGCCAAGTGCTGGCTCGAGGTACTGCAGGAGACCGAGTTCCAGGGTGGATGGTGGGAGGAGGTATGGTTTGCCGTGTATGACCGACGGAACGAGGGCAACTTTGAGGTATTTGAGGAGACGCTCGGGGGCCAGGAGGTGTGATTCCCGTCCTAGCTAGTCTTGGGTTGGTAGCTTAGCGAGCGCGCAAATTCACTGCTGACAGGACAGGGTCCGCCCCCGACGAGCCGGAGGGGACGCATGTCTGTTTCAAACGATACTTATTAGCCCGTCTTCTGCCCGCAGATATATGTAAGGGAGCGCCGACATGGGCGCAGCCCTGTTGCATTGCATCGGCCTACTACCTCGAGAATTCGTTACACACACACACGCATAGGGCCAGTTAAAGTTGCGGATCTAGCCCGCGATGCCGAGACACTACCTGCGAACATGAAAGCATGTGCCGGAGGCCGGATCCGGACCCGCCGCCCGCCCGCAGCCTCGGGACGCCCGCGCGGCATCCACACCGCCATTGGCTCACCGAGGTCAGCGAGGACACTGTACGGAGCCAGAAGGGACGAGGAAAAAAGGGTCTGTCGCCAGCGGGCAATATTCTGACGTGCTTGGTTCGGGGAGGGGGCCGCCTTGGAGCCTGGACGGCCGCCCAACCATGGCAAGCATGGATAGAGCGCAGGGAAAAAGTCTCATGGGCTGAACTCTAACGGGCGGGCGAATTGCATGTTGCTAGCGCTCTCTCAACGATCAGGGACCCCTGATGATGGTGCTTGTCGCGCCCAAGTGCACCGCCCTTGGCGGAATTGCATCATGTCGTGCCTCGTCCGTCGAGCGGCCAGCGCAGCACCCCATGCGGTCTTACGGCGCTAACTCCGCCAGATGCGACGCGTGCTGTGCTTAGCTCCATCGAGCCTCGGGCAGTCGCCCCCCTTCGCGATGGTCTGGCTGCGCTGGACATGGAACGAGCCGATGTTCCATCCGGGCCGTCGTCGCATCGCCGTCGCGGCCCTTGAACAAGACGTCGACCGCCCGGCTTCTCACCGGTCGGCGCTGTCTCACTGCCGTCCTCGTCCCCTTGCGTGCCTGGCTTCCCCGCGAGGGGACCGGCCTGCCTGCGTACCATGTGAAATCTCGTCGACGGCCTGGACCTGGTCGAGGCGCATCACGTCATCGTCGCGGCGGGCGAGTCAAGCAGCCTCATCGCCCCAGGCGAGCAGACCAACCCTGCGCGCTACCCGTGTGCGTTAGACTCGGCGGCGGGTCGTCGTCGATACACACGCCGCTGGCTGGTGTGCTTCGTGGTCTTTGCTCCGCGTCTGGATGCTGAAGCACGAGGTACTAATAAACTACGGCGCTGGATCTGGTTTTGCTAGCGCATCTATCCGTCGGTCGCATTCGCTGCTTGAGGGCAGGCAGTTCCTGCCGCGTTGCGCGCGCTCGTCGCTGACAGATACAGTCCACCGAGTCTAGATATTGGTATCCCCCATCCCATCGCCAGGGTCGCTCATTCCCATCTCGACCTCCCCTCCCCCCCGGTCCCCCCTCTTCTCACTCTCGCTCTCTCTCCGTCTGTCTCTCACATGGTCCCCTCTTTTTTCTCCCCTCGGAATCCATCTTAAAATCTCGCCCTCCCCCGGCTTCCCATTCTTGTTTTCCGGCACGATCATACAGTCAAGCGAACCGAATCGTCGCCGCCAATGTTCGGACGCCGGAAAAGCGACGGGGGCGGAGGCAAGCTGGCCGGTGACCCGCATCCGGCAGACAGCTCGGCCGGAGGCTACGACGACGAGGCCGCCCGCTATGGCGCCTACGGTGACGCGCCCGAGTTCGTGCCAAGCGACGGCAGCACCATGGACCCCGACTCTGGCGTGAAGCGCGGCCTGAAAAATCGCCATCTCTCCATGATGGCCCTGGCCGGCATCATTGGTCCCGGCTTGCTGGTCGGCGCCGGCGGTGCGTTGCAAAATGGCGGTCCCGCGTCGCTGCTCATTGGTTTTGGTGTCATTGGTATGTCTCGCCTCCAAGGCGACTCTTGAGATTGAGACCTTGTCTAACCACCCCTACCTGCTGTAGGTATCATCGCTTTTGCCATCATGCAGTCTCTCGGTGAAATTACCACAATCTTCCCCGGTGGTGGCTCATTCGTCTCACTCGCCGAGCGCATGGTCGACAAATCCTTTTCCGTGGCCGTGGGATGGAACTACTTCATCATTTGGGCCGCGGTCCTCGCCAACGAGTACAACGTCATATGCAGCATCCTCACCTACTGGGTCCCCCAGGTCCCGCTCTGGGGCTGGTTCCTCATCCTGTGGACCATCTTCTTCGGCTTTCAGCTTCTCGGCGTTGAGGCATTCGGAGAGGCCGAGTTTTGGCTCGCTCTCCTCAAGCTCCTGGGACTGACCGCCTACTTCATCTTCGCCATCATTTACGCGGCGGGCGGCCTTGTCGGCCAGAAGGAGGCACTCGGCTTTCGCTATTGGCACGATCCCGGCCCGTTCAACGGAAACGGCTTCAAGGGTGTCGCGCAAGTCTTTGTCTTCACCAGCACGTTCTACGCTGGCGTGGAGTCAGTCGCCGTCGCCGCCACCGAGACGAGAAACCCAGGTGTCGCCGTGCCCCAGGCCATTCGTCAGGTGTTTTGGCGCATCATCTTCGTGTACATGGGATCCGCCCTCTTCTTTGGCATCACCTGCCCCGCGAACGCCGATGGTCTTGTCAACGGAGGATCCAAGGCGCTGAAGAGCCCCATGACGATTGCCCTCCAGAATGCTGGCTGGGAAGGAGGTACATCCCCGACGCCCGGAATAAGACGCTTACATTTATAAAGTGCTGACATGGTTTGTAGGCGTCCATCTCATCAATGCATTCATTCTCATCACGTGCTTGTCGGCCGTCAACTCCTCCATCTACATCGGCTCACGCACCATCTTGTACATGGCGCAGTCCGGCAAGGCACCCAGCTTCATCGGCTGGACGAATAAGAGGGGTGTTCCGGTCTGGGCCATCCTCATCACCAACGCCGTCGGCGCCATCTCCATGATGAACGTGTCGACCGGCGCCTCCAAGGCGTACCAGTACATTGTTAACCTTTCGGGTGTAAGCACCTTCCTTGTGTGGGGCAGCATCAGCTTCATTCACATTCGGTTCCGCCGCGCCTGGGCGGCTCAAAACCGGGACGTCAGCGAGATTCCGTTCAAGAGCCTTTGGTATCCGTATATTGCATACTTTGGCGTCGCCATCAACCTTTTCCTGGCGCTGGTCCAAGGGTGGACGACTTTGGCCCCATTCGACGCCGGGAATTTCGTTGACGCGTATATCCTACTCCCATTGTTTGCAATCATTTACGTGGCGGGCAAACTATACTGGCGTGGCCGAGACAAGTTCAAGCGCAGTTGGGAGATTGATCTGGACAGTGGCAGGAGGACTGATCTGGATCAGAAGGGTATATTGCCGGAGGACGAAGCGTTCCAAACCAGAAAGGTCCCCTTCTGGAAGAAGATGTGGAACTCGTTTTAGCTACCACGCTCTCCCCATTTTGGATCTTTTGCATTTGCAGGTAAAGGCGTTTTGACCCGGTGGGTGGTTGTTTCCGGACCCGCGGTACGAAGTCAAGAAAGATATCCTGGGCTGGGGGTCAGCCTCAGACACGACTCAGACAAGAAGGCGGACACGTTGGCCTGCGAAGTGGTCGAGGGAAACGTGACGCTTATTCATTTTGGCATATCCTACTCTGCTGCATAGAGTTAGACTAGCGACCTGGAACGAACACGATGGGGGATTCTTACCCCTGTTGGAGATGATTCGGAACGAAACCTGGTACGGACGCCGTGACCCGCCAATGAGCAAGGAGATCTGCGACGGAGCCGCCGCTTAATGCGGCTCCGTTGCGTTCTACTGTTGAGTGAGCACCATCAATGGAGCTCGGACATGAGCCCCAGGCTGCTCGATAATGATTATCCACGTTGACATTTTGGCGAGCTCATGTTCCGCGACATGAATGCAACTTCTGGAAGCATGTCTCTATTCCACACTATATCATTTACCATACCGCATGCAGATATTGCTGAAGCGGTACGTTGATGCTGTGTGGAATTCCCCTGGAATTCGCAGCCCGGGTAGTGGTTGTGGCATTGATGTTGATCCAAGCCTGACTTCCAACCACACGTCAAATGCCACCATCCCTTGGCTCAGAACTACTGCCCCTGACACATGAAAGGCTTAAAGGAAAATCTCAAAACCGTAATGCTGAGGGAGTCGTTCCCTTCTCGATCCTTTATGTGCACCCGACTTGGGACCCGCCGGACCGAATACGAATACGACAACCCGCCAACCACCTGTCCGTAGGCAACGGGAGGACTTACACGCGGCTGGCGGCAATGAAAAATGGTATTACGGGGTTTTGGTGAGACTCTTTGCACGCCAAGGTACGCGTAAAGGTGTTTGCTTTGTCTTTTCGCGGAGGGAATGCTGAGTGTTGCCAAGACAGAAGCCGGCGCCTTAGTATAAGAGCCAGTACCTCTCCGCCCAAACCATGGGAAGAAGAATTTAGACAGAAAAACACAACCAAGATTTTGAGGTTACTTGTTTCTTGCCTTTCTGCGTCGGCTTCGACAATGATTTGGTGGCTTGTCGTCTTGCCGCTGGTCCTTTGGACCAGTTGCATCATCCGCCAGCTGCTTCCGAAACGCCGCACTGAGCCGCCGACGGTGTTCCACTGGTTTCCCTTCCTCGGAAGCGCGGTGTCCTATGGCACAAACCCTCAGAGCTTCTTTTCGAGATGCCGAGAAAAGGTACGCATGGCAACGCCCCCTAGAGCAGGGTCTGAGTTGCAGACTCCAGCGCACGTCGGCTAGACTAACGGCGGCAATATGACAGTATGGCGACATCTTCACTTTTGTGCTGCTCGGGAAACGAATTACGTGCTACTTTGGCCTGGAAGGAAACGAATTCATCCTCAACGGCAAGCAGCAAGACCTCAACGCCGAAGAGATCTACGGCCCCCTGACGATCCCCGTCTTCGGCTCCGACGTCATCTACGACTGCCCCAACTCGAAGCTCATGGAGCAGAAGAAGTTTGTCAAGTTTGGGCTCACGCAACAGGCCCTCGAGTCCCACGTCCCGCTCATCGAACGAGAAGTGCTCGACTACATCAAGGGGGCCGCCGCCTTCAAGGGCCAGAACGGGACCACGCACGTCGGCAAGACCATGTCGGAAATAACAATTTTCACCGCGGGGAGGGCCCTGCAGGGGGACGAGGTGCGGGCCAAGCTGACCGCCGAGTTCGCGTCGCTTTATCACGACCTGGACATGGGCTTCCAGCCCATCAACTTCCTGATGCCGTGGGCACCGCTGCCGCACAACCGCAAGCGAGACGAGGCGCACTCAAAGATGCGAGACGTCTACATGGACATCATTGCGAGGCGCCGGCAGAGCGGAGCCGCTCCGAGCTCTGACATGATTTCGAACCTCATGAACTGCAAATACAAGGACGGCCGGGCTGTGCCTGACAAGGAGATTGCGCACTTGATGATTACGCTGCTCATGGCGGGGCAGCACACGTCTGCCTCGGCAAGCTCGTGGATTATGTTGCATCTTGCGTCCCGGCCAGATATTGGGGAGCAGCTGTACCGCGAGCAGGTGGCCAACCTGGGCGCCACAGGGACCGGACAATTGGAGCCGTTGAAGTACTCTGACCTGGCGAAGCTTCCTCTGCTAAGCAATGTGATAAAGGAGACGCTAAGAGTGCACTCGGCCATCCACTCCGTCATGCGCAAGGTCAAGCGGCCCATGGAGGTACCTGGCACGCCATACGTCGTAACGCCGGACAAGGTACTCCTGGCATCGCCGTCTGTTACGGCCATGAGCGAGCACCACTTCAAGAACGCCAGCGAATGGGATCCGCACCGCTGGGAATCGGCCTCTGGAGCGGTGAGCGGCGGCAACGGCGGCGACGAGGACGATGAAAGCATCTCGCGTGGCACGCGCAGCCCCTATCTGCCCTTTGGCGCGGGCCGACACCGTTGCGTGGGGGAGAAGTTTGCCTACCTCAACCTGGGAGTCATCGTCGCGACGCTGGTGCGCAGCTTCCGGTTCTACACGGTAGACGGGAAGGGGACGGTGCCGGAGACGGACTACTCATCGCTGCTGTCGCGGCCCAAGGAGCCGGCGGTGGTGCGGTGGGAACGGCGGTACGAGTCGGGGTTGGAAGCGTGAGCAGTCAGACCGTGATGGACGATGGCAGAGGGACTTGATGGCTGCGCATAGCTTGCAGATACCTTGGCCAGGATGCGCAGGCAGTGGAGGATTGCCGCAGTCGCAGCAGCACCTGGGTAAACAACATGCAATAACAAATGTATGAAGCCATAGTGTGCATGGGTGCATGCACAATGCATGCAGAGACGTGCTGAGTGATGACGAGTAATCGAGAGGTGTCGTTCGGTGATGATCTGAGGCGGGCCCCCCTGAACAGCTGGCGCTCATCGCTGACTGGCCGCCACGCCACAGGTGGCCGGCCAATGGCCCGTGCGCTCCCGCGACTTTAGTGCTCTGGCGCCCTGGGATAAGCTGGGCCGCTGGGGTGAGAACCAGTGCCGGCGCTCACGATGGGGATCCACCGGAAGGGGGAAGCACCTGAGGTGGACTGGGCTGCGCCGCATGGGTGCGGGGCTGCACACCCGGACAGCTCAGCTCCAGTTCATCTGGGTGCTCCAACAGGGCCCCCGGAGGGACCTGGTGCCTCCACCCTCCACCACCTAAGCAAGCCCCAAGCTGCTTCCATCGTACAGGGCGTCTCAGGGACCGCGCGCAAGGCAACTCGACCCGTTCCTTCCACCCCGTCCGTTGATGTGCCCGCCGCTGGCTTCATGTTTCTACCTCCCGTCTTTTAACGCTCACCACCCTGACAGCGACGCCCATCAACGACCTGCGACAGCATAGTCACCCTCTCGCCCGCACGCCCTGCATCCGCGCCACCTCAGACACGCCCAACCCCCACGAGCAACACCCGCGCTACCCGTCTCGAACCGCCCATCCATCATCACATGTCGATCGCAGCTCGACCTCACCACCTCCTGCTTCCACTCGCGCCGCCGTCGTCCAGCAAGCCGCATCGCCCACCCAGCCTGCTGGCCGCACGCGCACACCACGGCGCCGACAAAGCCCCCCCTCGTCGCCCGACTCGTCGAATGAATGCAACCGCTAAACCCCTTCCTTGCCGCCTTCTTCAAGAGCTCCGTCGTCGCGCAGTGCGCTCCGGTCCATCACCACATCCTGCTCGTACCTCTGACGGATGTGCTCCTCACCTACAAGGAGACCGACAGCGGCTCCTCTGCCCAAGAGGTCATCGCCTCTGAAGAGTTCCTGAGCAGCCATGTCCTGCGCATCCCGACCTCGAGCTCCAGCGCCGGCAAGGAGGCCACCCAGAACCTGCGCGACGTGAGGGGCAAGGCCAAACAGTTCTCGACGCTCAACGGGCGCACTGTTGTTATCAAAGACTCTTTTGTGTACAGCAACAAAGGTAAAGCTAAGATTGCGCTGCCGTAGGGCGGGCGCCGATTCATCTTGCAGCTACGTGTATGCTGACGGCCACCTTTACCAGGCTTCAAGGCTCTCGCCCAAGCTCAGCTCCTGAACGATACGACCTGGTACCCTGACGTCTTCGAGCCGCGGCAATGGCTGGTATACTTTATATCGAAACCCTTGGTGGGCACCTGGGAGGAGGTCAAGATTACCCCCGCGATCCTCGTCCACGGCCTGGGCAGGAAGGCCGCGGCGGAACAAAGCAAGGCGCAAAACGGCGAGTCCGCCGATGACGCCGTGCCGCGCAAAAAGGACATCAAGACGTTCCATGACCTCTTGAACAATTTCCCCATGATTGCGCGCCAGATGCAGTCAGGCCTGGAGAAGCTGTTCCTGGAGTTCACGGCCGTTTTCGAAAAGCCCCTGCCTCCTCCTCCTTCTGCGCCCAACATACCCGACCCCCAGCCCGAGGGCCCGATAATGGCGGCAATGAAAAGAGCCCGGTCCAACAGCTTCACAGGACGCAGTGGCCGGGACAGCCCGGACAGCCTCCCGGTGACCGAAGACTTTTACGCCGAAGATGACGAGGACGTCATGAGGGCATCCCTGGAGACGGCCGTGACCACGGCCATTGACTTATTCCAAAGCGTGGACAAGCAGCAACTGTCTCTGCTCGGAGCTACCACCGACCTTACCGGGCCCCTCGTCGAGAAGCTCATCGAACGATACGTCACCGAGCACGTCCATCACCTGCTATTCCCCAAGCTTACAAGCTTGAAGCGGCCAGAGGACCTGGAACTGGAGGCAAAGATTCGGCAAATGGAGTTTGTCGACATCTCACAGCTTGGCATTGCCATTGACGGCGGTCCAAGGGCGAAGCATGACCTGCTCATACAGCTCGGGCCAGTCGTGGAGGAGTTCAAAAAAATTTCCATCGCAAGGAGCCCCGTGGAGATGATGGACACACTCCTGACTACCATGAAGACGGTGTCTCAACTAACGGACACGTCAAGACCGCACGAGAATGGCGGCGAAGCCAGCTCCGAGAAGGCCATAATGACGGTCAACGCAGACACGCTGGTGTCGCTTCTGCTCTACGTCGTCATTCGGTCGCAAGTCAAGAACCTGCAGGCGCGGCTCATCTATGTCCGCAACTTCATCTTTGTCGATGACGTCGACAGCGGCGAGATGGGGTATGCGCTCAGCACGTTTGAGGCTGTTTTGACATACCTCACCATGGATTCGGCAGGGTTGCGCAAAGCGAGCAGGAAGAACAAGGCCCTGTGGGAAGCGACCAAGCATGGAAACCTCAACGAGCTGAGAGACATCATGGAGCCGAGCACTTCCGCCGTCACAGACGACGAAGAAGCGGAAGGGGTGGATGCCCGCCAATCCTCACGAGCCAGTAGCCGGCCATCGTTTACGTGGAGCTTCGCAAATGGCTCTTCCCGCAGGTCTTCCCTTGCGCTCACCGCGTCGGATCACTTCTCGCATGGCTCAGGACTCAGCCATGTGTTCCCGTTTCAGTCCAACGGCAGTTGTGAAGGAGATTTCCCGCCTATGAAACGGATCAAGAGGGTTGCGATGGACACGAGGAGCCTGTCGAGCGGATCTGAAATCTCGTTTCACTCACGCACAGGGAGTCTCGCGACACTAGGGAGTGCCCTTGAAGGTGATGTGTCGGTGGAGAGGCTGGCTCAGACGAGCGACGCGTTTGGCGAGTCGATATTGATGATGGCGGTCCAGAACGAGCAGCCCGAAACCCTACGATACCTCCTGTCACTCTCCGGATACTACCCGCTGGAAGTGATTTTAGAAGACATGAACAACGAGGACACGACATTGCTTTGCGCTGCTGTTCAACTGGGCAACGACGAGCTGATCGATATGATCCTTGATCGCGTCAGCTCGCTTGCGACGCACGAACAGCTGGTCCGCTATCTGTCGGAACAAGACATATGGGGTCGCAGCATCGGCCACTACTTATTCCACGCTCCATCGTTGATCACCCGGATAGGCGGGCTGTTGCCGTGGCGGCAGCGAGATAAGAATGGGCGCACGCCACTGTTTGCGCTGTGCCGGTCCTACGATCACGCTGACTACTTCGACATGGTGGAAACAGGGCTTCGCGTCGCACGCGAGGCGCAGGGCGACAAGCAGCCACTGCACGTCGACGAGCACGTCGACGGGAAGGGCAACACGCTTCTGCATATCATCAACGACCCCAGGCTGGCCATGAGGATCTTGCACTACTGCGACGTCGACGTTAACGCCACAAACGAGAAGAGATTTACGGCGTTAATGGTGGCCAGCAAGTACGGCCGGTATGACATGGTGCGGTGTCTCTTTGCCGACCCGCGAGTTGATGTGGCGGCGAGGGAGGTTCGCGGACTCACAGCGGTTGAGCTGGCCAAGGATGACGACGTGCGCAACAAGATCGACGACTTGGGATTGTTCAGCATGCCGGTTGGGAGGGACGGCCGAATTACCGGAGTTGTGCGTGCATTCTTCGTCGAGGACGGGAGCGTCCGCCTCGTCTTGAAGTCCGCGGCACCTACGGACCACGACAGCTACACGGTGACTACCAGCCGACGCTCGCTCAGCGACTTCGAGCAGCTGGCGCACCTGTTGACTCTCGAGCACCCGGCCTCTTGGATCCCGTCAATGTCAGATACGCGCTCGCCCTTTCAGTTACCGACGAAGCCGTCGCGGTCGCTTCTGCGCGACATACAAGCCAAGACAGACTGGTTCCTGAGGATCATGCTTGGCCATCCTACTCTGGGCACACACGAAATGCTGTGGGAGTTCTTCCTGGTGCCGGAGCTGCAGCTGGACGCGATGGAGGCGCGTACCAAGCTCAAGGTAGAAATGAAGGCCGAGAAGATCAAAGACGAGTACGAGCCCGTGGAGGATGTCAGAGAGGTGGAGCAGTTTGCCAACCATGCCCGGGAAATGGTGAGGAGCGTGAGCTACTCAACCAAGAGCGTCGCGCGGCGCGCAAACGGTCTCGGGCAAACCTCTTCTGGTAGGTCCCTTCCTCTTGGATCCCTCTCCGCCGAGGCAGAATAAGAGACACTGACACTGTTTACGTAGATTTGTACGACTCCATGGTACTGCTCCACCGCCAGGTGGCGGCCGTCGAGTTCATGCCGTCGTCGCACGTCAGAGCGTTGGAAGTGTACGTCAGGGGCATGGCTCCCATGCAGTCTAGCCCTCAGATGACGCTTCACACGACGCTGCTAGCGATACAGTCGACTGTGCAGGCCCTGCTGTCTTCCCTGGGGCGGCCAGCGACCCTCATCAGCCAGATAGGTGCGGCGAGGCGAGAAGCGGACAGAAACGAAAGCTCAGCTGGAAGGTCATCGCGATGGCCGCTGGGCCTGCTAGACGAGACGAGACAGCGGATGCAGGACGGCAGGGAGCAGCGGGCGAAGCAATCGCGGCAAGAGGCCGAGTACCTCTGCCGGGAGCTGCGGTACACGCAGCAGACTGTCGCGAGCGAGCTGGCTGGGTGGCAGGATATGCACGAGACCATGGGCAGGCGAGCCCTCCGAGAATTCGCCCGGTGCATGGTGATCCAGGAGCGGTCGAGGCTGGACGGCATGATGCGTGCGCTCCGAAAGGTGCGGTCGGCCGACGACGGGACCGGGGTGAGGCTACCTAGGGATGCACGACAATCAACGCTGTTCGCGGAGGCAGATAGCGGGCTTTCCCGAGAGAACGGCGACGGGGCTGAAGGGGCCGAATGAGGCGTCTGTGAAGGGAGAAGGCTTGCCGTGTCATGATCACGAGAACAACACGCCGTGGTTGGTGGTTTGTTCACGCGCGTGGTGCGTTGGAGGACGCGGAGGCGGCGATCTACTGCACGACGCATGCACGATGATGGAGCAACGGACAGCCAGGGCATGTGTGTTGGCTGCGTGCCATGACAGCCAAGGGTCCGGAACATGCACTCTGGCACGTTTCCCATGTCCCGTCACGGCTGAAGGGTTTTTGTTGCGGTTCCTTTGAAGTTACAGAACCGGGTGTTTGGGCGCTGGAGGCGAGCGATGATGACGACAGAACAACTCTGGCCCGACCACTGTGGGCGATGGAACTAAGTGGCAGAGCTTTGACACGACAGATATTGCATTTAATCAATATACACCGCGGCCGCTTTGTGCCAGTGTGATGAGCAAAATGCTGCAGATGCGTTCTGTGTGATGTGATTGATGTGCAACGTTGCCTGCAAGCCGAGGACGGAACAGTGCATGCTCAGGTCATCCGCGAAGTACGAGAACGATGGGCCAGTCCACGGGTTCCTGAATACCGAGGTGAGGTATGGCCGACTACTGCCAAGCTCGCTGAGGCGGTTTGCGGTGCGTCGTCACGTTCGCCCGATGGAGATCCAGCCGAACGGTTTCGAAACAAAGTTGGCAAAGGGTCCAACGAGACACTGCCGACGGGGACGGGATGAAACGCCAGGACGGGAAACAGTGGGAAGCCGTGAGCCAGTCAACGGGAACGACGCGGCGCAAGCTGGGTTCGGCCTCCGATTGGCCGCTGGCAAGTGGGAGAGAAGAGAGACGCCATTCGATTTGTCGGCGCGTCGCCGTCGAGAGCGCGTGGCGCGCGGCCAATGAGAGAGCCCAGGTCCCTACGCGCCACGAAGCGCAACCAAGGTCACGCATCTTCCTTGCACGACGAGACCAAGCAGGCACAGGGCTGCCCAGCAGGCGCGAGAGGAAGGGCTGGCCGCGGTGGCTGTGCACAGACGGCATCGTCGAATCTCCGCAGCCGCCGCTGGTCTGACGGACCAAATTTCCACACCCCAGAGGCCGCTTGCGGGAACAAGCGAGGCTGGTGCGACGACGGCGGGGGGGCCGCCTCTATTTCTATAACATGAAAGAGCGTCTGGCTAAGCGCCAGGCGAGCGTCGAGACTCGAGACCCGAGAGCCGTAGCCGCCGAGGCGACGTGGGCGCTGTCATTGGGCACCGACGCTGTTGAAGATTATGCGACGCAGTAGGCGCCGCGAGGAGCGAAAAATAGCACAGGGCACACACGGCGCGGCGACTTGCTGGACTGCTGCTGCTGAGGCAGATGGGGTGTCACGGTCCAAGGATCCATCCACCGGACGGCGGGCCTGGTTCGCGCGGTGCGACGTCGCACAGCGCGCCTCTGCGGCTCCGCGTGCGCCCGGTGGTGACGGAGAGGGAAGGGGGTGGGCGGCAACGGCGATCGAGGATGGGGACGCTGGGGAGCGCTGCTGTGTGGAGTGAGAGAGTGAAAAGACGCGACGTGATGGCAAGTGTCGTGAACCGACACGCGACGTTGAAAAGAGTCTCGCGAGGTGATGTTGGCGGACCAACGACAGAAACCACACGACGCGCGACTTGCCCTCTTTCCCGGTTGGACGGACACGCCAACGCGCCTGCCCCGTCGTGGTGGTGCTGCCGCTGCCGCTGTCGCTGCACGGTCTCGTGGAAGGAAAGAACCTCGACGGCGCCGCCGCGGCGTCGGCAGACACCCGCGGGCAGGAGCGAGCGAGCGGGCGATCGAATGAGATGCATCTAAAAATGAGTCACTTAGACGCTGGCCACTCACGGGGCCAGTGGCTGCAGCGACCAGCTCAACCTCAATCCCAGGCCTGGTCCGACCCCTGCCTGCCCAGTGCATCGTCGACGATCCACACCCGCCTCACCCCACCGCAAACCCGCCTCGCTCGACTTACACCCGTCCGCGGCTCGCGATGGCGTCGGCGGCACCACCTCACTCATCAGCCATCGCGCCCACCGACGACGACGACGACGCCGCTGCCCGGCACGCCTCGCGGACGCGCGCATACTGGCAGCACGCACACACGCGCACACGCACGCGCAGCTGCTGGTTCGTACCCTCCCCCGATCCATCCTCGCTTCCCACTGCCGAATGCCACCCGCCCGCCGCCGCGTTTCACAATGCAGCTCCGCAGGCCCATCGTCGTGGCCCTCGGCCGTGATCCTTGACGAGTACAAGAAGACGGCCTCATCCCAGACCGGCTCTCATTGTCTGTCCATCTCCAATCATCCACACTCGGTCCCCCTTTCGTGCCTCTCTGCCCTCTCCTTCCCCCATCGTCTCGCGCCCCCTCCTCGTACAGGCCAGAGACTCATTCGCCATCCTCTCCTCTCCCGTCCATATTCCTTTTACATATACTAGACGGGTCACGTACAGGCCCTCGCACACACGCAAACTCGCCATAGACCGCCTGGCCGCCTAATCATCCCAGCGCCGCCCCACGGCCCAGACTCAGGCAACGCTAGCAACTCGTCGTCTTCTGGAAAGACCTTTGTGCTGCTCTCGCTCTCGCTTCAGGCACACAACTTGCACAACTTCTTGATTTGGCATTGGAGCCGGTCTCCAAGAACAAGAGGATATAATATTCGCTATCTCATAATACCTTAACATTGTTGATAGTCATGTCTGCGTAAGTCTCTGTCACCATGAAGCGCAATGAGACCCAACACTAACACAGCGCGCCAGTCTGGAAGCCGACGTCGCCTTCGACTTCACCTTTCCCTCCCCCTCGACCCCCCCTCCGCCCTCATATGGCTTTACCGTGGATGGCGCCTTCACCTTTGACCCGACGTTTCTCGAAATTCCCTACGGCTATCATGACCACCGCCATGCCCGGTCCTCATCCAAGGCATCGTCCATCTACTCGGCCGTGTCGACTGTCGACTCTACGCCCGACTCTGTCTGCACGCGCTTGACCACTCCTCCGCGCGCAAGCCCCCCTGTCGTTCGTCATGGCCCTCTCTTGCTCCCCAAGATCCGGCCGCAGGACCAGAACCTCGACGGTTCACAGCTTCCTGTTGCCAACGTTAATGCTCGCCGTGCCAAGAAGGCCCAGACAACCCCTCCGCCTCGGCCCAGGCCTGCCTCTGCCAAACCACTCCGCTCCAGCCATGCCCGCAGTTACACCAACCCGGAGACACTCAGCAGCATGGCTTATGCGCACATGTCCTCCTTTGCTGGGGCCTCGTTTCACGGGAGTGATCCGGCGCCGCTGCTGTGTTCGCCCGCCGCCTTTGCGCAAGACACCGTACTGTCCTCGGAGCCGGACCTGATGAACCCGGGCGTGTCTTCTGAGCTTCCCTCCCGCCGCGCTTCAACATCGTTCAGCGTCGACGCGGCTGTCATTGACCGGTACGGCTATCCCACGTATCGCCGGATGCCGTTCTCGTCGGTGCCACCGACTAGCAACATGACCAGCCAGGCAGACTGCGCCTTTTCGTCATATACCCCTAGAGCTCCGTCCCCTCTGGCGATTGCTGCCTCCCTTGATGAGGCTTCCACTCCTTCAACACCCTCGACGACGCTCATCAACTTCCTGACTGCCTCCAACCCTGCCGCGTCTCTTGTGCGCAACATTTCTTTCCCACTCCGCGACCCTAGCATCCGACACTTTTGGTGGGATGTCCGGAATGTTCGATCGTGGACCTCTTTCACTGCGTCTGCCGTTCTCTCTCTGCCCGGTGCTCGGGCTCTGCTGACCACGCCGGTCCCTGCCCCTGTCCTCCCCCAGCCGAACATGTCGGTTAGACACCCTGACACAGAGGCGGCCCTGCATGGAATTTATACGTCCTTTTATCTGCCAAAGATGAACGCAGCCCTTGCTATTTCATCGAACCGCTCTCTGCAAATTTCTGTGCCGACCAAGGCAGCCAACGGCATGAGTGACCTTCTCTTTCTTGTCAACGCTGCGGGTGAGTCCGCCACAGCGGCGACAATGTTCGGTGGCAAGCCCTCCGCCCGTGTCGTCGGCCTGGTCCGAAGTTTCGACCGCTTCAATACTGGCATGCGTGTTGAAGGCAACATCAAGCGCGTTGAATATCTCCGCGGCCTGTCTGCGATTCATCATGCCATGCGCGAACATGGATGCCGCTACGGCTTCATCCTCACCGAGATTGAGCTTGTCCTCGTTCGCGCCGGGACGGAACCAACGCCTTTCTTTGGTGATCTCGAGATCACTTCCGTGCAGCTGGCCACCTCGGCCCCTGAAGGCGACTTGGAAAGCACACCGTCCATGGACACGCCCCAGGCCATGACCGCCTGCCTCGCGCTTTGGGGACTCTGCCAGCTTGCGGGGGATAGGGCGCCTCCGGGCCACCCTCACTGGAAAGCCGAGATCGGGGCCCCGGCCGAGGGGACGCGTCGCAAGGCAAAGCCTCGGGATAACTGGATGCCGCAGCCCCAACTCGCGGAGAAGCGAGAAGCCAAGCGCAGCCGTGGTTGGGTCTGGCCCGAGGATGCCATTGGCAGGAAGGAGATGGGCAAGCGAGGCGTCAAGTACGGCAACTTCTGAAGCCTGTTGGGCCATGCCGATGAGAGCGCCGTGTGTTCAGGGAGGGAAGTGGCTTTGGCAGGTCCAGTTTCCTTTGTCCTGCTTTTTCATCGACGAGAGTGCGCTCATGACTGATGAGATACGATGACCATGACGGCACGACAAGGTATTGAGGCATTTCCCTTGACTTGCACTCGGAGGCGGACTTGACCACGGGGAGGGCAATTACTTTGGAATATCCACCGATAGTGTAGATGTAAGGAGCAATAATTTACACGATACAATATCTGATGCATCATCACACTCTCAAACCATTTTAATTTTGTCCCCTACTACCCCGGGCATCTTGGATCATGCCAAAGTGTGGCTGCGGTCCCCCAGGATTTGCTTTCTCTGGCGCATTGAAGTGCGCTGTGTTTTTTCCAAGAACAAAGGAGAGATAGCATTGTCACAGAATTCAACTAATCGCCCGAAGTTCCTGAGCAAGGTTCATGTGTGAACATGGAGGAAAAACGCCACAAGGTAGAGGCCAACGAGCGGTATTTCCGACCTCAAGCACGGACACGTCAACGAGGGGAAGGGAGCAGCGAGAGCCGTCTTTTCCTTTCACATTTTTACTTTGTTTTTATTCATTCTTCATGGCTATCATCAACTTTTTTGCATTTAGGCAACGGCATAGATCAGCCCTTGGCAGCACCGGCCTTGATGAGCAAAATATCGCCGTCCTCGACGACGTAGTCCTTGCCCTTGGTCATCATCTTGCCCTTGGCCTTGACTTCGGACTCGTCGCCGAGCTCCTTGATCGCGTTGAAGTTGTAGACGATGGCCTGGATGAACGTCTTCTCGAAGTCGGTGTGGATGACACCGGCGGCCTGAGGAGCCTTGGTGCCGGTGCGGATGGTCCACTGGCGGACCTCGTCGGTACCCGTCGTGAAGAAGCTGCCCAGCTGCAGCGCCTTGCGCATCTGCAGAATGATCTTGGGCAGCGACGAGTCGGCGCCGACATTCTTCTGCTCCTCCTTGGCGGCCTCCTCCGTCTCGAAGCGCGTCAGGCGCTCCTCGTATGAGACGGAGATGGGGATGATCGGGTCGCCGCTGGCGTTCTCCTTGATCCACTCCGCGATCTTGGGGAGGTGCTTGTTCTTCTTGCGGACAAAGTCCTTTTCGGACAGGTTGACCAGGTAGACGACGGGCTTGGCCGTCAGGAGGAACAGCGGGTTGATAACCTCGACCTGAGCCATGCGAGTCAGCAGCTGCTCCAAGACAAGCAAGGCCAGCAAAAAAATTCAAAGAGATGACGGAGCATTTGCAATCAGATAGGACGTTCTCTCAGTATGCACTCTAAGCGTTGTTTTGGGTGAGGCATTCGACGAGCTGGGTTAGATCAGGCCAATTGGCCTTTTGTCATCACGCAAAGCGGAAAAAAACGACGGGCAACAAGATAAGAAATGGTGTCGTCTTACCTCCTTGGGACCCCAGTCACCCTTGCGGATGTCCTTGCCGTCTTGCAGCCAGGCGAGAATCTTCTCGATGATTTCCTGCTCCTGCCTGGCCTTCTTGAGCTCCAGACTTTGGCCGCCCATGCGGGTCTTCTTCTTCTGGTTCTCCAGGGCCTTCTCGACGAACTCAATATCCTTGAGTCTCAGCTCCTCGCTGATGATATCCAGATCACGGGTGGGGTTGACGTCACCCTCGACGTGAATGATCTCAGCATCGTCGAAACACCGGACGACCTGGAAGATGGCGTCGACGGCGCGGATGTGAGACAGGAAAGAGTTACCCAGGCCAGCGCCAGTGGAGGAGCCGCGGGTCAAGCCGGCAATGTCGTAGACCGTCAGGTTGGCAGGGACCTGGGACTTGGGCTTGTACTTCTCCACGAGCCAGTCGTAGCGCTCATCGGGGACGATGACGCGAGCCTCCTCAGGTTCGATGGTGGCATAGGGGAAGTTCTTGCGAAGCTGTCAGCACCCCGGATGCAGGGTGAGCGACAAGGGGGGGCGTCATACAGCCGGGTTGCCCAGGTTACACTTGGTGATGGCCTGGAACAGAGTGGATTTGCCGACGTTGGCGAGGCCGACCTGGAGAGGGAGCGATTAGCTTGGGCGGACCGGGGGAGGGGGGTCATCAATTGGTAGGAGCTCACAATGCCGCTCTTGAGGTTGTTCCCGGGCCTGCCCAGAGGAATCTTCTCCTCCACAACCTGCTTCTTGGGAGGCATTTTTCTTGATTTTGCGTAGTGCCGGCACGGGGTATATGCGACGAGGATGCGCCGAAGGGCTGGAGCTTGCTGTCCAAAGGCGACAGGCCTTGCTGCGCGGGGGAGAAAAGCGGAGGGGAGAGAAGCGAAGGAAAGGCAGTGGAAGGCGGCGGAGGACGTCGTGGTGAAGGAATTGGCTGCCGCCAGCCTCGAGAATCGCTTCAAAGGGGCTTTGAGAGCGAGCGGGGGACGCCTTGGGGGAGGGAGAGGAGAGGCTACGTGGGATGGAATGGGATGATGATGGGAGGAAAAAATGAGAGGGCAGCAGCGAAATTTGATGCTCCCCACCACTTGGGCGACAAGTGGGGGTGTTTTGGCTGTGCTGTTGTGCCGTGTGCTGCGCTGCGTGCTGTGCTATGTGCTGTGCAGGGTGCTGCGTGGTGCGGTGCTGGACCCTCATCCACTGGGGCACCTAAGCTTCGACAAGCTGGGGACCCACGCTGGGGAGGTGTCGGAGGACGGAGGCTGTGTTTTCCCGGGGCCGTCCGCGCTGAGCAGCGAGGGGGACGGACACTGGCCCCAGGGAACCTACCTACGTGCGTCACTGGGATTTCCAGCGTGCCCACCGTCCCGCCTCCTCCATGGCCCGCCCCGCCGGCCTGACGTGCGTCCCCTGCGTCACTCGCTGCGCATACGAAGTACGGAGCAGCATACCTATGGCCCCACTGAAGCCACCTGCCCCTACATTTTAGGTAGGTCGGGGCGCCTATGCAAGCAGTGCTCACTAACACCGCACCAGGCGGCAAACCGGGCGTCGCTTCCTTCTCCCGTCCTCCGCTGCCGGGGCCACTGACAGACACAGGGAGGCGAGCTTGCTTGCTTGCTTACTCGCGTGCGACGAATAAACCCTCTCTTAGTTGGCCGCAATGCGCGATTCTCCCTCACCTGCATCGCGCTCCCGTGCTCTGCTTCGACCGTCAACATAATATACGCGCGACAGTGCTGTACGGCTGCAGCCGCGGAGCGCCACTTTGGGACACTCGCAACCCCGATCCGGCGTCGCTCCAACGCCGAGCCTTGGTGTGACTGCCCAGAGTCTGAGACAGCCACCCACTCTCAGGACCCTCCGACTCTCCATCGCCACGAGCACTCGTTATCGTCGTCGTACAGGCAGTCGTGCTCTCGCTGCTGCTGCTGCTGCATCGCCTCTGCATCGAGCCGTTGGTAGCGCCTCCCGCCGCTCCTCGCCTGCCATGCCCGCGCGCGAGAACGGCACGAGACAGTCGAGCAGCCGGCACCGCTCGACGCTGTCGCTGCAAAAGACGGAGATTACAATCCACGTTTACGATCTGCTACCGGTAAGTGTCACGCCCGCCGACCTGCTAGTGGCCCTGTTCGGCTCGCTAATCCCACAATACGCACAGCCCGGCAGGGTATCCTCGGTCCTCTGGACCGTCGGGGCGTCGCTGCTGCATTCCGGCGTCGTCATCAACGGCCGCGAGTACGCCTACGGCGGCCACGACAAGCGCGGCGTCACCGGCGTCTACTGGACCAAGCCCAAGACGGAGCCTCCCGGAGGCACCTTTCGCTGCGAGATACTCCACGGATTCACGCTCGCTAGCCAAGAAGAGATCGACGCCACCCTTCGCCACGCCTCGGACGAGTTTCTCGGCACCTCGTACAACCTCCTTACTAGAAACTGCAATCACTTCACCTCATATCTCTGCCAGAAGCTCACCGGCTCGCCCAGCCCCGGATGGCTCAACCGCGCTGCCAGCATCGGCGTTGCTCTGCCCTGCGTGGTCCCGCGCGAATGGATAGAGCCGCCCGAGTACGACACGGCCGACGGCGAGCTGCTCGATGAGGACGAGCAGCACACCGATGAGCACTCCCGCATGCTCGGCCAGTCGCGGCCGCACTTTCTCTCCGACGGTGCCGCCAGCGACGAAGCGACGGAGTGGGATAGCGAGGAGGAACGGCGCCGCGGCGGCAGCGGCAAAGGGAAGCAGGTCGTCCGGGACTCGGCCGGCCGGCAGCTCCCCGCGGCAGAGCGGGCACCCACCTGGTAGGACGTGGGCGCGGTCTTCCGCGTGCAGACATTGCAACGGCTCACGCATGGCGTTTCGGGCGTTTGGGACTGTTATTCTGAAATGGGATTGGAGCGCGATACCACGGCTTGACCTGATGTTACGATGATCCGCGGCGGGCAGGAATGAGCAGCCCTGTTAGAGATGCGCGCCTAGGCTGATTGAAAAGGTCCCCATCATGGGGGACATGTACTCTCTGTGCATGGTCTAGCTCGTACAAAATATGGTACATTTTATAGCACCCCTGTGCCTCCAATCCCTGTTTCGAGACCTCCCAGAGAGGTGCCAGGAAGTCATACGCCAAGTAGGCATCGGGGCCGTTACAGGCGCCTGGGCTTCTCGCTCCGCGTTCCTCCAAATTTGATCCTCGTCGAGTCGGCCACGCGGACAATCTTGTCGCGGAAGACCTTGCCCTCGGGGCTCATGAGCACCTTGACGGCGGCCTCCCTGCCCTGGCCGAAGCCGCGCAGGACCAGCTCGATGCGCTTGATCTTCATGGGCCAGCCGGTGTGGATGAGGCGCTCGAGGACGTACTTGGTGAGCGAGTAGGCCGAGTCGAAAGTGCCGCGGCGCGACTTGCGGAAGCCGATGTTGCCGCAGGACATGGAGATGATGGGCTCGCGGTTGGGCTTGGTGCAGGTGATGTGCGTGTTGTGCTTGTGGGAGTGGATGTGGAAGTGGTAGGGCTCCAGCTCGTCGTCGCGTGGCTGGACGGCCTCGGACGGCCTGCCCGAAAGGGCGCTCGTGTCGATGTTGGACTTGTTGAGGGCCTGGAAGACCATGCTCTGCGAGAGGTCCGACATGGGGTTGGGTTGCTGCTGCTGCTGCTGCGGTGTAGGCCGGCCGCGCGCCGGCTGCGAGGCGCCGTAGATGTTCTCAAGGAGCGACTCGGTCCGGGGCCGCGCCGGCACCCGCTTGGGCCGGCCGTCGCCCTTTTGCTCGTCCCATCGCGTGCTCGAGTGCGAGAAGGATTGGGCGCCGTCTCGGAGGCGAAGGGCGGTGCATTGAGGCGCGAGAGGCCGTGATGGTCGAAGGAGGAGCGTGTGTGTGCGCGCCGCGAGGCGACTGGTCAATGGCCGGCTCATTGCGCTGGCATGGCCCTTTTGGATGGACGCTGGGTGAAGGTGGTCAAATTTCGTGATGGCACCCGTTTGTTCCTTTCGGCGGCGGTTTCCATTGGCAGGCCCGACCGGGGGGTGTTGGCCGCCGGCCGGGCCCTCAAAGCAGCCAATACAGTGGACCGTCGCCGCCGCCGCCCTCGGCCTGCCGCGGTTTTGCCGCCCGGCGCCGCGCCACGCCCGCCAGCGCTTTCCCTTGGCTTCCAAATTCCCCCAAGGGTTGCCGCCAGGAGCCGAAGTCGCCAAAAACCGAAATTTCCTTCCGCAGCCACGAGCTTCCCTCCCCCATCCGCCTCTCGCACCCGCACCCGCACCCGCGCATCTCCTCGCCCCCCGAGCAGGAGAGCAGCCTCTTGTGTGGACCGCTTCCACCCTCCCCCTCGACGGTTTCAGCATGACTTCTTTTGTCCGGAGCGCCGCGAACACGGAAAATGCCCTGTCGCGGGCCTCCAGCCATGTAAGCCGCTCGTATGGCCGATCGCCCGCATACCGGAGGTTAGCCTCCCAACTCTCCCAGGCCCCGAGTCGCCCCGTCGCCGCCGCGCCGTCGGGCGCTGCCACGGGCGCCATCCTCTCTCCCTTGCGATCACAGTTCCTCCCCGCCGAGTTGCGCCTCACCTCCGCCTCGGTGAACCAGGCCCGGCAATTCCACATCACCGGCCGGCGTCCCCAGGAAGACAAGCCCAAGGCCGAAGCAAAGGACGAGGCCAAGGCCAAGCCCGCTCAGCCCGAGGCCGAGTCCGAGAAGAAGCCCGAGGAAGAGGAGGCCAAGAAGACTGAAGAAGGCGAGAATGGCGAAAAGTCCGAGGGCAAGGACGGCAAGGAGGAGGGTAAGGAGAAGGAGAAGAAGGAAGATCTCCCTCCGCCTCCGCCGCACGGCGACAAGACTCCCTGGCAGGTCTTCATGGAGACCATGAACACCGAGTTCCAAGCGTCCAAGGAGTGGAACGAGTCGACCAAGCAGATCGGCGCCGCCGCCCACCAATTCTCCGAGAGCGAATCGGTCCGCCGAGCCCGCGAAGCGTACGAGAAATCGACCGGCGCGGTGTCTTCGACCGCTGCCAAGGCCGTCAAGGGCACCGCTGGCGCCATCGGCAAGGGCGCTGCCTGGACGTGGGACACCTCGGTCATGAAGGGCGTCCGCAAGGCCGCCAACGTGACGGGCGAGGCAGTCGACAAGGCGACCAAGCCCATCCGCGAGACGGAGGCGTACAAGAACGTCAAGGACGTCATTGATGACGGCAGCTCGTCGAGGTACGGCGGTTGGGTCGAGAAGGAGGAGCGGAGGAAGAAGAGAGCGGCGCTCGAGGCCCAGCGCGGCGCCAGCGGCGAGGTCATGCAGGAGGACCCCGAGTAAGTCCAGAGAAACTCGTCGCGCAAGCTTGTTTGAGCCGATTCTAACAATTCATCGCAGCGCCGGCACAAACATTACGCTCCACAAGGACGCCGCGTGGAAGGAGGCGTGGAGAGACTTCCGCGACCAGAACAAGTTCGTGCAGGGCATCTTCAGCATGAGGGGCAAGTACGAGGAGTCAGAGAACCCCTTGATCTCGACCGCCCGCAGCATCACGGACCGCATCGGCGGGTTCTTTGCGGAGAACGAGACGGCCATGGTCATCAAGAAGTTCCGCGCCATGGACCCCAACTTCCAGGTGGAGCCCTTCCTCCAGGAGCTCCGCGAGTACATGCTGCCCGAGGTGCTGGACGCCTACGTCAAGGGCGACACGGAGACGCTGAAGCTGTGGCTGTCGGCGGCGCAGTACTCGGTCTACGAGGCGCTGACCAAGCAGTATCTGCAGGCGGGCATGAAGTCGGACGGCCGGATCCTGGACATCAGGAACGTCGACATCCTCCGCGCGCGGATGCTGGACCCGGGTGAGGTGCCCGTCTTCATCATCACCTGCCGCACCCAGGAGGTGCACGTGTACCGCAACGCAAAGACCAACGAGCTTGCGGCGGGCATGGAGGACAAGGTGCAGCTGGTGACGTACGCCATCGGCATCACGCGCGTGCCCGAGGACGTCAACAACCCCGAGACGAGAGGCTGGCGGTTGATTGAGATGCAGAAGAGCGGCCGGGACTGGTACTAAAGGCACCAAAAAGCGTTCTTTTTCGGAGAGTTTTTTTCGACTGGCGACTGGGGAGCAGCATTCTTTCGCGCTGTGTGAATATTGTACAATACCTCTTTGCATCTATGGGGAGGAGGAAGACAGCGGGCCCCGTGCGGCCGTGTATGATGATGAGGGCGCCAAAGGAGGAGGAAACGGGGCTGGCATGCCACAAACAAGCAACACAACACACACCGCTCTTGGTCGGGGCCTCTGCGGGATGAGAGGCCCCTGTACGATTGGAAAGGGGAGGAACGAAAGGCACAGAGGGAAGCGGGGGGATCTGGAGCAATGTCGGATAGACAAAGTATAGACGCTAATCATCATCATCATGATCGTCCTCGTCATCCTGGGCGCAAGGCACTCAGATTTGAAAAACTACATGACCAATCCCTCTCCTGTGCCATCATCACGCGCTCTCCCTGAGCTCGCTCCGCACCTCCATGAGCGCCTTACCGAGCAGGTTCTCGCCCCAATGCTCCCGCATGCCCTCGGCGTCCCTCTCCGTGAAGCCAATGCCCCATATGCTGTCATACGGACTCGCCTCGACGATCTCGCGCTCCCCCGTCGCGAGCAGCATCTCGCGCAAGCTCCCCTCGATGAGCGGCGGCAGCCCATCATCGTCACCAAGACGGGTCCCCGCCCTCGTCTTCCTAAGCGTCTTGCCAGCCGCGGTCGTGCCCTTGCGGAACCCCTCCTCCGTCACCGCGCGCGTAAACTTGAGCACGTTGCCGCGGCGCACAATCTCCCCGCGGCGCGCCGTCCACGTCGCCTCGTCGAAGCCCGCCACCTTGCGGCCCAGGGCCTTCACCTTGCGCGGGTGCAGCCCCTGGGCGAGGACCTGCGCGGCGACGCGGCGGTCGCCGAAGAGGAGCGCCTTGTGGTACATCATGTAGCTGCCAGCCATGGCCGCGCGCCCGGTCAGCTCCTGTGCACACACGTCGACGGGCCGGGGAGGGGGGAGGCAGAGAGCAAGGGGAATGAGTAAACGCACTGCTCTGCCGTGTCGTACACGACCGACGGGTCCTCGTCGTCGCGGAACGGGCAGTAGTACCACTGCGACAGCCAGCCCGTCTGCGGGTCTGTCTCGCGCCAAAAGTACACGGGCTGTTGCTCTTGCTGCTCGTCTTGACTGGCCATTGTGATGATAGGTGCGCCGTTGGGTTTAGTACGTTGCCGTTTCGATTTCAACGGGCCGGGAGGAGATATAGCAGCAAGCCCTGTTTTCCTCGTACGACATACATGCAGTTTGCAACTTTACACACGGTCTGCTTGCAACAGGGAACACGCGACGAGTCTTATACGCTGCAGCTGGCCCAATGTGGACTCTTTCTTCCACGTCCGTGTCTGCGTGAGCTACGGGCGTGGGCTGAACGCCCCAATTGACTGACACCCTTCTAGCGCCGCGGCCAACCAGGGGGGTAAATGGGTCGGCGAGGTTGACTCGTGAGGCGTTCACGCCGCCGCTTGAGTCACGGAACGGAGACCGTGCACGGCACAGCGACAACAAACCCGGCAAACAGTCAATTTAAAGAGAACATCGTCACTCTCCGCACGCGTGAAGAGCAGTGTCAAGGCTGTGTGACTCGTGCCGCGGCCCGGAGCACTACGGGCGCACTGTCCTTGACCAATCTTCACGATGTGCTCTTCCAGGGACGCAATGCACCCGCCCTCGCGGCGAGGCCGTCGCAGACACCGCGCCGCGCCAATGTCTCTTCAATTCAACACATGACCAATTCACACAAATTCGATGTCTGTATCAATGCTCTCGTCATGGCTTGTTGTCTATCGGCCTCGAAAGGCATCCCGCTGAATATCCCTTGTCCCCCCCTCTCCAGCCATGTACAGGCACATCCAATGTCCGTGGGCGGCAAGTGCCCATGCCAAATAAGCATGCGTCAAGTCGCAGCCAAACTCCCAAGTCCGAAACGGCCGTGAAGAGAATATACAGTGTACATGTGTGCAGCCGCTATCGCTTCGAATCCATAACCGACCGGTGTAGTGGTTCCAGTCCATGGCAACAAAAGTACCAATGCCACGCACGCCATGTGCTTCCCGTCTTTCATACAAAACAGTGCGGTGACTTAGCCAAGTCCGCTTTCCTCCAGCCGTCGCTGTAAGTGAACGCAGATGCGTAGTATATATATCGCCCGTGCGAATCACCCTCACTCGTCCGACTCGGCCGACTCATCGTACTGCCAGAGCCGCTTTCGCTCCGCCCCCCACCATTGTGCCACCTGGTTCGCCTCGGTGAGCCAGGCCGCCGCATCCTCGCCGTGGTTTCGCCTCACGTCGGACACGAGGCTCTTAATGGACCACTTGGACCGCCGGTGCAGCTCCTGCGGGTCCCGCGCCAGGTCCGTGAAGATGAACTCGGACTTCCCGTCCAGCGGCATCACCACCCGCCACGGCGCGTCGGCCGATGTCATGGTGAGCATCTTGCCACCGGGGTTGACCACGCCGAAATTCCACGCCCGCCTGCCGCGGTACGTCGGCTTGTACGGCCGGATGAGGGACTGCCCCTCGTAATCCTGAATTAGGTCCGACGCCGCTACCCTGTCGTTGTCGTTGAGAGATCGTGTGTTGATGAGGAGGTCAAGGATCGTGGGCAGAATGCTGATTGATGTCGAGTTGACGCGGTGCTGCACACGCGGGATCTTGGGGTGTCGGAATGTAATGGGTACGCGAAAGTTGCTGATATGCCCGTTCTCGTACGTGCCCGTTTTCTTGTGATCCTCCTTGAAAGCCTGCCCGTGGTCGCCCACGAAAACGACCAGCGTTTCGTTGGCTACACCCGTCTCCTCGAGCAAGCTCATCAAGTCGCCCAGCCAGGCGTCGGTCCAGCGGATCGTATTGAGGTACTTGTTCATGTCCTTGTGCGCGTCTGCCAGCCCGCCGTGAGCCGAGCCCATGTACTCGAGCGTCTCAAAGTCTTTCGGCGTTGCCCAGGGGTGGTGCGTCGTGCTCGTAAAGTGGGACAGAAACATGCGCTGGTTGTGAGCCGTCGCATTCGTGATATAGTTGCGCATGTAGCTCTTGAGCGCTGTCTCGGGATATCCAAAGTAGTTGATCTCTTCGAGATCGGGGTTGCGGTACGAGTCCGACTTGAGGCGCTTCTTGGTCACAATGTACTTGAAACCGATGCGGTCGTCAAACTGGTCTTGTCTGTCATAGCCATCGGTGACGGACTGGAAGAAGGCCGGGTACCACTGATGCTCGCGAAAGTCTTTGCTCGACGAGTTGCCCTTCATTCGGTTGAAGAGCTCGAGGAGCTGAGGCAGACACGGCTGGTAGTTGGGCAGTTGCGACTCCTCAAACATGTCGACGGGCATGGGCCAGAGGCCGCAGTGGATCGCGGCCGTGCTCTTGGTCGAGACGCTGCTGGTCGTATGAGCGCCGACAATGTTGATTCCGCCGTAGCCAGGCTTGGTCATGTCATGCCACTCCTGTGATATGCCTGCAAGGGGGTCGCCCGCGACGTTTTGAAAATTACCCGACTTCCCCGTAAGTCTTTCTGTGTTGACGGTCAAGTTGGCAAATCTAGCATTAGCTTCGTCCAGCTCGCTCTCCTCGTGAGACTTCATGAGCAGCTTGTGAAAGTCAGATCCATATTGCAAAGGGAACAGCTCCTCGCGCATGCTCTCCATTTGGATAAGGGCAATGTGTCTGATTTTGACGCCCTCCAGAGCCTTTTGAAGAGGCTGCAAGAGGTCCATGTCGAGGTTGCTAATCTTCATGGGGTCGTTGACGGGGTTGTAGAAAGGATCTTCGATGGCGGGGTCGGGACATCGGTCGCGGGCGGGCGTGGGAGTGCTGGCCGGCAGCCCCGTCGCCGTCGTTGACGGGTCGGAATGGGCTTCTTCCCTGGCCCTCTCCCTCTCCTCAGGGTCCCAGCGTTCGAATCCGGAGGGCAGCGTGGCGGGTACCCAGTCAGGTTCACGCTCACGATACTGGCGGATGAAGCGGTTGTCTACGCCAGCGGGCGCCCAGCCCTTGAAGTTACCCTTGGGCGTCTCCCATAGTGCCTTGTCGACGAGGTCGGGGAGCGGCCAGGTGCTGCCGTCGCAGCTGATGGTCTTGCCTCTAAAGATGTCGAGCAGAGGGAGCGGGAGGGTGGTCAGCACGCGGCCGTAGGGTCCATCCGTGTCAAGGATCAAGGCCGAGGCCGAGAAGACAAGCATGGCGGTGCCGGCCAGGACGAGGGTAACAATTCGTCGCCGCGTCGGCCGGCGCTCGGACGGAGGACGACCATCGCCGACGGGAAGGGTGCGGTCGCTGGACGCATCGTCGTCGAGGTCGGAGTCGGAATCGTTGCTATAGATCTCTTGCATCGGGAGCAAAGAGTTCTGGTCGACGCCGCCCTTGACGGGCTTTGTCAAACCCACTTTTACGGCAGCCCAACGTAGTACTGCGGCTTTTTGTTAGCATGGCGACGCAGGCTGAGCATTATCGAAGGGCGGTTGTACGTACGTGCGAATATCCGTGCCTCTACGCTAGCAACAAAGGCGCTGATGAAGCGGGACAGAACGCCCTTTGTGATCCAGGCGACGACGACAATGGCACTGCCAATGGCCATGGCAGTGCCGGAGCCGCTCATGAGGACCTTTCGGCCCTCATCATGCAGGGCAAAGGCGGCAGCGTCGGCCCATTCGATGTCGCCGCCCGTCTGCCACCAGAAGCTGAGCTGCGAAGTGGCAGCGAACAGCGTCGTGGCGCTAAAGCAGGTGTCAGCGAGAGTGCAGCCGTGGGACACGTGCGCACATACCTGATCAAGCAAGCGGTGGTGACGCCCAGAACCGAGAGCAGGATGCCATTCTTGCGGCGCAGCAGCAACCACTCAGCGCAGATGAGCAGAAGATCCGGGAGAAAGAGGACGGGCAGGTAGATGACGAAGAGGACGATGTTGAACGAGTGTGCGTTCTGGCTCAGGCGCAGAGCCTTTGTGGAGAGGACCGATACGCAGAAGACGGCGAAGATGAAGCAGACGAACGTTGGATGCATGCCGGGCCAGCATCGATACAGCTGGCGGGCGTCACCGACATGGGCCGACAGCTAGAGGTGAGGACGGGCTCGATATGGGTTGAGGCGCGGGATCGGGAGTGGCGGCTTGCGGCTGATGGCTGGCGGCTGGCCGTCCCCGACGACGATGGCGACAGCGGCGATGGCGGCGGCGGCAGCAACGGCAGCGACGAGGATAGTGAGTGAGACGGCAACCAAAGCAGTGCGCCCACGCAAAACGTCAAACGAGCGTCGTCGTGGTCCAAGAAACGCAACACGTGGTCTGGGGGAGCACCAGGTATATTCCTGGGTTTTGGGGGGGAGGAGGAGAAGAAGGAGCAGGATTGACTTTAAGGAAGGGTGGTGGGACGGCGGGCGAGGTTAGATCAAGCTTCCATGGAAGGGCCGCCGTTTGTGCCGTGGGGATCAACTGCGGGTGCGTGGTGCAGCGTCAAGTCAGGTCAAGGCTGAGCTGCGAGATGCGCAGGTGCCGCCGGAAGGATGGCGCGGGCGGCGGTGGTAGTGGTGGTGGTGGAGGGTGGGCCAGGGGCTGGGGGGGTGGTGAGAGGGAGGGAGGGAGGATGGACGGAAGGGAAGGCCAAGTCAGGATAGGCAGGCAAAGACAAGATGACGCCGCTGTTGTTGTTGTTGTTGTTCGTGGGAGGCGGGAGGTGCCTTTGCTTTGGAGAGAATAACACCAAAGTGGTGATGGTGATGATAATGAGGATGATGAGGGCGGTTTCGGGCCCACGCGTGAATCAGCCAATTCGACTCACGGGAGCATCAAGAGACAAAAAGCAACCTGGAAGGAAGAGGAGACAAGGCGAACCCTGCTGCCGGCGAGAGATGAACATGGACAGGACCGTGGATGGATGGATGGACGGAAAGAAAGGATGGGCTGAGGATGCGGCGATGCTGTGCTCGCGGCGACTTGGACGGACAGACTCCGAAGCCGCCTTACTCGAGCACCCGCCTGGGGGAGCAGAAGAATAACTGGGGATTGACTGCGTTGCTGCTGCGCTCCAGCGCCCAAAAGCCAGTCATGCCAGGCCATCCCGTACGAACGACCGAGCAGGAAGGTGCGCACTTGCCTCGAACAGGCGACGCCGCGGCGGCGCACACGGTGCTCGAGGTACTCGCGCTGTTGTGCACGCACCGGCCCGCGACGTTGGCCAGCAGAGGTACGCCGTGCCCCGATATACCGTGTGGGAAGAGGTCCTCGCCTCTAGCGCAACGCAATCCTGCTGCCGCCGCCCCTTCGCGCTCCACATGAACCGCGCAGCGCAGCGCAGCCATCAAGGCAGTGTATCAGAAAATACGACACGCTTCCGCCGCCGCCGCCGCCGGGCATTGCTTGTCCTGGGACGGCCGACGCAGTCGTTCGCTGCGCCCCGGCCACGGTGCAACGATCCTCGTCGACCCAGGCACCTGGACTGTGCTCGGCGTGCGTCCAAGGTACTGGTGGTACGTAAGGTTGCGCCAGCTTTCCAAGCGCTAACGGACACCAAGGGTAGTCACGACGACTGCCGGCCGTCACAGACTCACCTCACGGACACGTCGAGCGTCCATCTGCAGCCGCGTCGGGGGCTGCCGTCGGTGAGGCCCTTGGACAACGTCTTTCAGCCCGTCCACCAGGCGGCCCGGGCCCCGAGCTTTGAACAACGTGGACTCGCCGCGGCCTCTGCCGCCGCCCAGTCTCGACTCGACTCGACGTCGACGGCATGGAGCGAACTCGCGCCGCCAAGCTCAACCCGCCGGGAGGGGTCCGTGACACGGGCATGGAACGGGGCGGCGGCGTGCTGAACGCCCTCTGCAGCGCTTTATTTTGGGGTGGGTTTCATCCCCTTTCCGCCCTCCCGCCGTGGCCGCCGACGCCAATCACGGCGCCTGACGTCAGCCCGGCCAGGTCCGCAGTGCTTGTCGTGCGAGGGGCGGAGCCAGTTCATGTTCCACGAGCATGTTCCAGGCGATCCAGGGGGTGGTTTGGAGCCACCTGGAATGGCAACGGAATGCACGCGCCGAACATCATTGTCGATTTTCGGATGACTCGTAATAAACAAAGCGCCAACACAGACTGCTCCCTCCCCCGACGACGACGACGACGATGACGCCGCCCGCTACGGCGCGTGTCGGAGACCGGCCACCTGGTCCGCCCGCCTGGCACAACTGACGTGTCACGACCCAACGGCCGATCGGCCATCGGCTGAAGCGAGGTCGAGGTGAGCAAAAGGGTGAGCTTGTTGATCACTGGGCACCAAGCAGTGCGAGCACCAAGTGCGAGGTGGTTGATGATGGAGCTCCACTCGCCCCCAGCTTCTCAAACTTTTGAGTTCCATCGGGCCTCGCGGGCCCCCTTTCCCATGTACAAAAAGCTCCGTGTGGAGGACCAGGGCTGCGACAGGCCCAACAGGGCAGTGGGGCACGTGCTGCAACGCTGCCCCCCTGCCCCCCCGGCCATCCCACTGGGCAGGGCAATGGAGCCCACTGGACTTGACCTGGAGGGTGTCGGGGTCTCTGGGAAACACCCGTGGACCCCTGTCGCCCCCGCTGAGCGCTCCGGTGTGTGCTCCCTCCAGCTTCGACGGGAGGTTCCAGCAGGAAAGGTCCAGGGCTCCAGCGCTACATCGAGTGCTGACACGCACCTGGGCACGCACGGTGCAGTGCGACTGTAAAAACTGCCCGTACGCATACCCGCTTCATGCACTTCGTCTAAAAAATCTCCGCCCGAGTCCGAACCCTCCTCCACCGGCCACGGTCCAGCTGGCCTCTTCAACGCTCGACGGCCAAGCTGAGCCAATTGAGCTCTTACTCCCGGCTCGTCCCTGTCCTGCTGCCCTCCCGTCCCGCCGCTTCCATCCCTCCTGCGCCTCCCATCCCCCCCCCCTTCTCTCCGCGCGTCGCTGCCTGCCGTCCCTCGCTGATGAGCTGCAGATTCCTCGGCCAACCGCAGCCGCCTCGCGTATGCACGAGAACGCACCACACCACCACCTCACGCTGAGGCGAGACGGCGGCCGCGGCCCAATCTGCCACCCGCCCGGCAGCCCTACCATGCTGCCATGCGCCACCGAGACAGGGCAGAAGCTTGTCTGCCCGCCGCACCGCGCCATTCGCTGCCGGCCCTCCCGGTGGAACAAGCCCCTCCGCATTTAACAGCCCAAAGGGGTAATGGCCCCCTCGGCCGCCCATGCCTCCGCCGCCCGAGGGCCTGCAAGGCCTGCCCCGAGGGATGAGAGGGTGCCCTTGGGTGCCATGGTGCCGTGGTCTGGCGATGGACGGGCGGCTACCGGAATACGAGCGCCCCTGCTAGCGGGGTTCCATTGTCATCGACGCTCGGTATATTTTGAGCAACCACGTCGACGGGGGCCCTGGGGCCCCCTGTTGTTGTATGGTTGGCTGTTTTTGGTGTTCAGACAGCTCCATATCACTAGTAAGTGAGGTGGATAGCAGCTGCGGTGCTGTCTGTACGTCGTCTGTCATACTAATTCTGTATACAGAAACACGGACGGCAACCTTCTTCTTCGCCTCGAGCGCAATTACCTGCGAGTCATGCTGTCCCACCCGCGTTGATGTGCCACAGGCCTGTCTTCGACCGTGCCGTACTGTATGGAGTCGCACAACGCCCGTCCCGTCCAGCTCGTGCAAAGAAATATCCACGTTACGTACGAGGTACGGGGACGGTGTGATACCAGCAGTGACGCGTGTATCACCCATCACCCCCAGCACCCTCACTGCCTCATTACCGCATCGCGCCTCCTCCTCCTCCTCCTGACCCTCATGCCCGTCCGCCGCCGCCGCCGCCGCCGCCGTCCCTACCCTTCTTCGAATCCAGCACTCCCTGGAACCAGTCTAGCACCACGGCGCTCTGCTGCTTGAGCGCGCCGATGCCCGAGTGCGTCCCGATAGCGTCCACACTCTTAAACTCGTGCAGGTGGCCCCATTTGCCCAGCGCCTCGGCCAGCAACTTTGGCTGGCCCCTGAACTGCGCGTCGTCCTCCGCGTCCCCGACAAACGTGGGCGTCCTGACGCGCTGCGCGATGCCCCCCGCCAGCGTGTAGTTCGTCACGAGCGTTGCAAAGTCAAACGGCGAGCGTGTGTTGAAGGACCACATGCCCTGCTCCAGCCCCCAACGCAGGTCCGTCGGCGCCCCCGGCTGTAGGAACTTCTGCGAGATCTCGTCGAACCGCTTCTTGTCCCCCGCGGCGTGGATCGCCATCAGCTCCGGCCCGAAGCTCTTGTGGATCATGCCGCCAAAGTCCCACACCCCGTCAATCGCCATGACGGCCGCCAGCCGGTGCTCAAACGCGGCCGCCCGTGGCGCCTGGTATCCCCCAAAGGAGAGGCCGAGCAGCCCGATGGCTCCCGGGTCTACGCGGTCCTTCATCCTGAGCACGTGGTCCACGAGCGGCGTCACGACACGCTCCCAGTCCGGGATGAAGCCCTTGTTCTGGTATCGCCGCACTGCCGGCTGTCCGGGGCCTTCATACGTGAGCACGTTGTAGCCTCGCTCCAGGGCCGCGAGCCCAAAGACGTGGTACATCTCCTCCTGCGCGCCGTCATACCCGTTGCCCATGATGATGGTCGGCCGCCGCTTGACCTCGTCATCGGGCGTCATCCATATGCCCGGGATGTCAAAGTCGGACGTCTTGACCGTCACGCGCTTCGCCGGCGTGTCCAGCAGCGCTAGCCCGTGGTCGAAGGCATCCGTCTGCTTTGCCCAGAAGTCCATGATGCGAGGGTCTGAGGGGTTGCCGTGCAGGTAAAAGTCGGCGCTGCGAAAGTACGTGGCGGCGCTAAAGAAGGCGGTGCGCGCCGACACAGGGAACTTCTTGCTCAGGATGCCCTTGGCCCGCGCCAACACGTTGTCCGCGAGGCGCGTAAAGGCGCCCGCGAAGCTCTCAAAGTCGCCGGGGATGATGCCCTTGGCGGCCGTGAGCACCTCGCTGATGTCGGCGCCGTCGTACACGCTCAGAGCCATGGGGCGCAGGAGCCCAAAGTGAAAGTTTGGGTCCGCGTTGAGCTGGAGCATCGTCGCGTTGTCGGCCATGGCGCAGGTCTGTACGCTCTCCCGCGATCGATCTGGCTCGGAAGGGGCGTGTCGCAGGGTCTGCGTGTCACCCGTGGTGCGGTTCCGTCGTGCCCACGCTGTTGTTGTACACGCGATGCTGCCGTGCTCGCTTCCTGCGCCGTAGTACAACACCACAAAGACATGGTATATAAGTAGTCCTGGCGGCCGAGTGATTTACTCCCCTCTCGCGCCTTCGCGCTCCCCATTCCCCTGTCACCGCCATCCTCTTACACGGCAACCGTCTTTTTCATCATTGCTCCGTCCCCAACCGGAGGTGTTCGTGCAGCCAACCTGCCGTCTTGTTGGCCCGCTCGACCGTGATCAGTAAGTCGCGAAGTCGCGCATCTCCTCGCTCTGGTCCGAAGGGGAAAGGCGCGCTCCTCTGGGGATCATGATCCCAGGGGCAAGGGGCCATTGCCGAATCGGATCACGGCGTAAACGACGAGCACTTGCATTAGGTTGCGGGGTCGCCCGGGTCGCCCGTGGTGGTGGCATTGGCGATGCCATCTGCCCTTCTGGCATTTGTCGTAGGTGGGAATTCTTGTTGTCGGCGACGGTTGAATGCTTGTTTCTGTTTGTCAAAGAACGCCGCATGTGGAGAAGCGGTCGTGCCTCGCGCTTGCGTCGCGGGCCGAGCCAAGATCAGTGAGCCGATGGACATGAATGCCATGCGCCTTCAGCTCTCTTCTCTGTTGGTGCTGCTCTGCTCGTTACGCGAGGCCAGCACAGGGTATCTCGCTACCAACGGCCAAGGATGCCTTGGCGCCCAACATGATACAACCTCATAGCGCTCCTTGACCTCGTTTTAATATCAGGTCGTGATCCCTCTCTTCCCTCTCTTCCCTCGATACTTGGCAACGCGCCAGCGCTCACGCCGACCCCGGCGGCGCAAGAACAGCCCATCTCCCCGGCCAGCCCCGAAACTCATCCCGTATCAACGCCTCCGTCTGCTCCCACGGCACCCTGAACGCGCCCGAGTTGAACATGGGCGAGTAGACGACGGGGGACGCCGCCGCATCCTCGCCGCCGGAGCCAGTACCTTCCCCTGTCTGCGCCACCGGCGCCGATGATGATGTCTCCTCCTCCTCCGCGAGCGCAGCGCGAAACTCCTTCAGGCTCCGCGCCGTTTGTTCCAGGATCCGGCCCGGCGCGTCCCTGCCCGGCTTGCCGCGCGCGGGGTCCGCCCTCCCGAAGCCGTTGCTCGTGAAGAGGCACACGATGTGCACGCGCGGCGCGCCGGCGCGCACGTCGGCGTCCTGCGGCGGGATGACGAGGCAGCGGCCTGCGATGGGGGACTGGCTCGGCCACCGGCGGCGGTGATGCTGCGACGGCGCGGCGTCGCGGCTGTTGCTCGGGTGTCCCCTGCTATCGCCTCCACCACCGTTTCTGTTGTTGCTGTTTCCGCCGCCAACCTCCTCTAAGCAGAAGCGCTGGTACTCGCGGCACGCCGCAGGGAATATGTCCGCCATCTCGGCGGCGATGCCCGCGCCCCATGTCGCGATGCAGTTCGTCGCGTGGACGAGGTAGCTACCGGCGGGGAGGTCGCGCAGCGGCATGGCCGCCGACTCGAGTGCAAACGGTGGTGCCTGGTCTGCCATTGCTGCTTTGTACGTGTATGCGTGTCGTATCAGTCGTGGTGTGGTGTGCCGTATCATGCCCAGATCCTTTCTTGAACAAAGTGTCGCGCCGTCTGAACCGGCGAATCTCAAGGGTGTTTAATGGATGAGGCAAGTTGCGTGAAGCTGAGGCGGGAGCTCAGGGCTCGTAGTGAGTCATGCGGCAAACCGAGGCGAGGCAGATTGACGATCACAGCTCGCCGCAAACAGAGCCCGTGACGTTGCGAATAGCCTGGAGCAACGTCATCCCGTCTTATTTCACCTATGTCGCGGGCTGGAACGCGCTCGATGATGGCATGCTCGCTGTCAAGCGACTCAGGCTGAATGTCTGGTCTAGGGTAGCCTATGTCCAACCAACTTACACCGAGCTCGCGCACAGCCTCTAGACATCACATTGGTCGGTGAGATGCCTTATCCAGAGTCTACTATAATTACAAAAGAAACAGTATTTCGTTTGCATATGTGATGCGTAGCAATGGTGTGGGCATGTGCGGCGGTGATAAGTGACTGTTCGCAGCCGCCGCATTCTCAGTTGTCTCCCACATTTCATGTATGAGCACACGATCCTGTCGCGAGGGTATCATCTCCTGCAACTGTGGCATCCGGCAGTAAATTGCATTTCTGTGGTTTCTGCGCGCGCTGAAACTTCCTCATATTTCCAGTGCACTCGTATACGCCAGCGCCGACAGGTCGAACAACCTCAAAACCACCACAACTCTGATCATCCAGCGGGGGCTACTATGTATGCGTCCGAGCAAAACACGTGAAATTACCACAGCACGGCGTAATCACAGATTAAAGCATCTTGCCAATCTGGCACATACACAGGCCTGAGTGGCATCAGCAGACTGGACATTGCGGCCCGCCGACGCAACTAGCCCACGCTCCCATCTCTCGACACGGTGGTGCTCCTGACTCCCAGCCAGGAGGAAGTTGCGTGGTGCGCCCGCCTGCCTGATGTCCTCGAGCGTGACATCCCCGGCAAAAATGCAACTCCCAACCAAAAAAGAATAAACTCAAGTCCACGCTCAACACCGTCTTGGTGCGCAAGATGGCCGCCACACGGACAAAAAATTTGGAGAAACGGGGATTTGAACCCCGGACCTACTGCAAATCACACGAAACCATGCAAAGCAGGTGTGCTACCCCTACACCATTTCCCCGGCGTTAGAGTTGTTGTGGAGCTGGCTTATTACACTTTATATGCCTCGCGGTGGACATGTGCGCCCGCCCTTCCGCGGTCGGGAGGGCGGGCGCACGCCCCCGGCCCCACTGAGCGGCCCCGCCGGCCCGGACTGGCATCGGCAGCAACCCTGCCGACCGCCGCCTGCGCTTTGCGCCGGGCCGGGAGCGCAAAGACATTCTCGAATTCGTTGTCGCAAACGCTTCTCGAGCAGAAAGATCTGAGCCCTGGCAGTGAAAATGAGTTCGAGATGTGTCTCACGCCAGCCAGCCTCGGCCGCGTGGTAGGATGGACCGACACCGTCTCACGAGTTCACGACATGGAGGGATTGGGGAAGCCGGCCCACGACTGCAACGCTCTCACACAGCTCTCAGATTCCTTGCCAGCTATCTCGCGCGACACAATTGCCGTGGTTTGAGCCACCTAGAATGACTCTAGAAGTCCACCAAGACATGAACCATTTTCTCATAATATCGGGCCACCCCGGCCACTCCAGATCAGAACCGGGGAGTGCCATATCCAGGGACCCTTCCAAAAGCACCAGAAAACTCTCAGAACATTCGCCGCGACGCCTGAGACCCCAAGCCCTGGGACTCAACACGCCTACGGCTACCACCAAGTCGAATTGACTTGACCTGAGACGCTGCCAGAGGGCGGCAGACCCTGCCGGGCGTGTCTCCCTCGCGGCCGTTGAGGTCTGGGGTGGAGTGCATCGCCAAAGGGGGTTCGATACCTCTTCCCCTGTAGACAGATCGGCACATCTCCGACTGCAGTGATCATGGAGTGGACATACGCCCGTGGTGCAGCCAAGACCTAGCCTACGATGTTGTCCTAGAAGCCGGGGTTGCACTTTGCAAAGCCAGGCATTGTAAGTCAAAGTCAGCACACCCCAGATACCAAACTCCTGGTGGCCATGTACATTCAACCAAGGCAGCTCCCAAACACCTCTGGCAAGGGGGAAATGATGTAGGGGTCGCGGTGGCAATAGGCACCCTACCGTAGAGTCCCGGTGTCAGAAACGCACCGGCCCGTTGCAGTTTCATGGGTGCAAGACGGGGTCCCGGGAGTGCCGAGTATCACTAAGAATCGTGTGCACCTACCCGCTAGACACTTGGTGCGAACTCTGGTGTCACTGAAGCCAAGTGGTCATGCCGCCAAAAGCACGCTTGGGGTTGACCTCCTCCAACATGGCCCTCTCTACACAGTGTCTCCTCCGGAACCGACATCTTCCGCGTATTTGGCACCTCCCCTGGAACTGGTATCTCCGTTGTACTTTACCCCCATCTACATCAGGTGAATCTTGAATCAGATATATACCAGTGTAAATCGCGACTGACAACATGTAGGCACATGCGAACAACTCGCTGCCAGGCCATTTCTCCTTCTTGCATTATATACTTCACGTGGACTATCGTTTGGAAACGCGCCTAACGTTACATAATTTTTTTTTTTTTTTTTTTTTTTTTTGAGTAGTGCTATTTGTAGAGCCAACTTTTGCTAGTTGTAGAGCCTATAGGAGCAATAGCAACCACAGCAACGAAAGCAACGAAAGCAACGAAAGCAACGAAAGCAACGAAAGCAACGAAAGCAACGAAAGCAACGAAAGCAACGAAAGTAATAGGCGGCGCGCCGTTACCGTCCCATGTCTACGCCTATACGCAGTAAAATTCACTGGGCCGGCATGGGGGTAGGGCGCGGCCGAGAAACAAAACATTAAATGTAGGGAGGCTCTACAACTAGCAAAAGTTGGGTCTACGAATAGCACTCCTCTTTTTCTTGGGGGCGCGTTTGTTTTGAACATTGTAGTTGTGTCTATAGAGAACCCTAAACGACTCTCGAGCCCTGGGAAATCTATGCGTCGGGTACTTTATTCCGAGAGGGCCTGCCTCCTGTTCATCGCAGTGCATTTGCCGGTGGTCCCAAAAGGGGTGCGATCTGAACCCAGACCATCGCTTTGGGCAATCGCGGTCCTCTCTCGGCCATGCAGCTAGCCCAAGACGAACACGATGCCACAGACCGTCGGCGGCATTGCAGCTACCCCTACGCCCGGGTGCCCTTTATGGTGCCCTTTCTCTGGCAAAATTGGGTGGCAAGACCACCAGCACTAGTGAGATACAACGCCCCCCGATAGTGAACTATCGGATTGGCGATCAGCCCGTGTACGCCATTGTCGCTTCGATTGGCAGTCTCGTTGGGCCCGAGTACGCAGCGGCCATGCTATTAGACCATGGCTATCTTGGACGGCTAAATTCACCGTTGGAGTCTCAATCCGTGTGCCATTTTGGGCAAAGGATGCAATCTGTGGCGGATCGAAGGGGCTGGGTAACGCCACTCGCGTCAATCTACGTACACTCTCCAGAGAGTTCATGTATGGCCGCAGCAAGCTACACGATACCAAAGTAGACGGGCCCGAAACCAAACTGGCGCGAGCGCTAGGAGGGCGATCTCCAGAGGCCAGACACTAAGTACTTACTTGGCGCTTATTGCTACTTCAGTACAGGTCAACAATAGGTCAACGGACACCCGAGGCCAACGGGTTGAGCAACCGCTGCGGCGAGCTTCGGTGTGCACCGCCCGTTTGGTGGCGAAGCACTCGATACCACCTGACATCCAGTGCTACAGCAAATACGCAGATGTCAAGCTAGACGGTCCAGCACTGAATTCGCCCAGCGTTGGATTGTACGCGAGGCCAATCGCATCAGCAAACGACGTTGCGTTTGGCAGGTTGACATCCGGCTCTCGGCCGAGCTCTTTCGGACCTTGAGTCCTCCAGCGTCCAAGTTGCAGAAGGGCGCGTTCCTTTTTTTGCCCACGGTAACATGTACACTGGAGCCGAGCCGTGCGAGTGCCGAAGCGTACGCCTTGGGGTCACAGTCGCAGGGCACGACGGCCGGAGCGGGATCGATGCGCACGGAGGCGATGAGACGAACACGAACCCCGGATCTTGGATCCCGATGCCGTGGAGGAGGAGTGGATTGGCAGTTACCACTGTCCGTTCCCACGGATCATCTGTCGCCGAAAGCGGTTCGTATTTTCGAGCCATCAATCCCGTTGACTGGTACTGTGCCGTGCGCTGCCAGCATTACAAATGCATGATCGTCCACGGCAGCCGGCTCATCGCGGCACGGGAACAGGGACGAGCCGAGTCTTCCGGCCCCGACCATGGATGGGCCTCGGGGCGCGCAGAGCCTCACCGCTGACGGCTAACACGGACGCACGCGTGATGTAGGAAGGTAGTAACTATAACGTACATAGGTAGGCAGGTAAGCCGGACGGAGATTACGAACCCAAATTCCGGATCAGCATCGAGCCCACGCGGTCGGCCGAGCAAGTCGTCGTAGTCTTCGCCCTTGCGCCGTTTCCACAACGGTACGAGTAACGACCTCTGGCATCAGCAGCAGCCCTGTGCCGCTGGGAGGGACCCGCGCGCGCGGCGCTGCACTTCCCGTTCTGGTGGCCCACGCCGGCAGTGGGTGAGATCCGGGGGATGGGGAGGGGCGGCGGCGGCGGCGGCGGCGGGCATCCCGACTCACCCACACACACGACACGCCCCCCTTCTTGTTCCCGCGTGCCCAGAAGCCAAGATGACAAGACGGGGGCACCGGTGAGCGCCAAAACGGATAAAGGACAAGAAACGTCGTCACCGTCTAGAAACCTGCTCGGTGGGCGCAGGCTGACGGCGAGGAGGCATCACCGGTTCGAACCCCCCCTCCCCCGCAATGGATTGATTGCTCTCATGGTGGTAGTCTGACATGCAAGCATGGTTGTTTGTTAGTCCCTTGATGGTGGAGCAATAGTCTATCGTGCCCTTTGATGTTTGTAAAATATGTGGGAATCCTTCCCTCGTACTTGTTGAAGATATTATTACTTTAGCATCTTAGCTAGTTACAGGCTTACAGCCCCGTGCCGTTTCCCGCACCCTTGACGCGTGCCCTTTTCCCGTGCGCCGTCGCATCGCCAGCAGCTGCTAGCTAGGAGCGGCTGCAGCGTCATCTTCATCCGTACGTAACTTGTCTACCCTTGGCGGGCCTGTCGCACACGCGGCTGGCTGCTCGCTGCAGGAACACGGCGCGCCCTGGATACCTCAATGAGAACGGCCCCCAGTCCTCACGGAAATACGGCTGAGACTCGAGTGCATGCGTGCGTGTATGTGTGTGTCTGCAGCGAAAACAACGTCCCCTTTCCCACGGGCGGTCCTTGTCTGACCTGCCTGCCTGTCAGGCCTCGTCTCTCTGCCCTGCCGTCCCCCCGCGGAAAGCATCCCTGCTCTCCCACACACCCACCACCACCACCCCCCTCTCTTCCGATTCTCCGCCATGCTAGCCATTATCCTCGCAACCATGCCGTGTGTCCACCGCGATCGTCAACCCCCAAGCTCGCCGACACGCTCAATCTTCAAGCCATCTCCAAGCCTCCTTTCAACTTCCCGGCCCTGACTGTTTCCCC